ACTAAAAGTACACAATACAAAATAAAAATTCAAAATATAACAGTGAAATTACTCAAATAACAGGGAAATACCTGATTGAACTGGTCTGTAAAACACCATGAAGTATTTTGTTTAGTTTATTGAAAGAGTTTGTTCATTGACTAATCTTTCCTTACTTTATATTACAGCTTAAACTTCTTCATAACTTACATCTAATAGACTTCAAACAACAACAACAAATTAATTTTTTAATAGATGGGTCTTTAACACATGCAATTAGTTATGCAAACTATGATATAATCTTTGTGATGATACAACCAAAAGAAAACAATAAAATTGGCTTTTAAAATTAGATTTTAAATTATAGTGATAACATTTCTTACATTAAAATATACCATGAGCAGGCGATAATGTTTAAGCAAACTATGCGTAAATGTCTAAATGCCATGATTTGACTACAACCGAAGCGTTCTACATGTGATGCCTTGCAGTCTCGCCGCCAGTAGAGCCACCAAACAGATATCAGCTGCAGCAAACAAACTGGGGAGCAGAGACGCTATAGCCACAATGATGAGTTTTTGTTGAACACACTAAGTTTTTCCTAAAATCAATTTAACACAGGCAAGAACATTTTTTTAAAACTCACCAAAACTCAACAGGCACCAGTTAAACTGGTTTAGGTAGTCACTTTTTCTTGGACATTGTCTGCATTCTCAGTCTGCCTACAGACTGTATGAACTTTGTAATTTAGTACAGCAGTTCTGTCAGTCATCTGCATGACTGACAAGTTTTGTTAGAGTGTGGTTTTCTTCTTCACACTAGACAGCAGCTCCCCTTAAAACAAACAGCTGCTGAGACATGACATCACTTCTGAAAGTTAAACTAAATACTAAGTGTGTCCTTTGCACTGACACACTGTCTCCCTCAAAATGTGACAACTGATGACAAATGATTCTTGCGCACTCTGACGAGCTGATGTTTACAACTAGAAATCAACATCGAGCTTGATTCAACCCAACTCAAACCCACAAAATCTGCCAAAAAGTTGGGTGTCATGATTGATGATCATGTAACCTTCAAGGCTCATGTGGCCTCTGTTGCTCAGTCGTGTCGATTCACCCTGTACGACATCAGGAAGATCAGACCTTTCCTGTCTGAACATGCAGCACAACTCCTGGTACAAGCTCTCATAATATCACGCATTGACGACTGCAACTCCTCACTGGCAGGCCTCCCCGCATCCACGGCCAAACCTCTGCAGATGATCCAGAATGCAACAGCATGTCTGGTTTTCAACCAGCCAAAAACAGCACGTCACCCCACTGTTCAGATTGCTTCACTGGCTTCCAGCTGCTGCCCGCATCACATTCAAAAATCTGACACTTGGCCAAAAAACTACAACGACAACAGCTCCCTCCTACCTGAACTCCCTCATACGGGTCTACCCTCCCTCCTGCTCACTACGCTTAACCAACAAAACGCTCCTGATATAACCACTACAATAGGCCCAAGGTTGATAGCTAGACTCTTCTCCTCTGTGGTTACCCGCTGGTGGAAGGAGTTACCAAACTCTGTTTGATCTGCAGATTCCCTCTCAGTCTTTAAGAAAAGACTAAAGACCCAGCTCTTCACTGAACACCTTGGCACTTGACAGACTGAAAAAAAAAAGAAGGAAAAAAATGTTTTCCTTTTGCCTATGTTTTCCTTCAACGCCCTATCACACTTGAACTTGTTCTATGACACTTATCCAGGTTGTTTTCTCCTGACTAGATCCTTGCTTGTGTCGTATCTACTCTCAGATGTTCGTCACTTTGGATAAAAGCGTCAGCAAAAAGAAACTATAGAATTGTAGAATTTAACAACACCTATCTGCTGACTGTTATCTGGTTGTGAAAAATATTTCTGTGTTACATCCCGAGCAGCTTTCCAGTAATGACTCTTACATATAGTGTTGAAGTACTCCACATATAGTGCAAAATATAAAAGAACTAATCATGCAGAATAGCCCATTTCAAAACAATGTACATTAGAATAAGTGATCGAAACTATCGATGCATCTTTGTGTACATCTCCCTCCCCCATTAAAGATCAATCAATCAATCAATCAATCAATCAATCAATCAATCAATCAATCCACCTCCCCTACATATACTCACCCACCCTTCTTATAATTGCAGGATTTACTAAAACAGGGACTGAGGAACTGAGTAAACGCGATCATACATAAATGCAATGAGGAAACACCAGAGGCAGGATACGTCAAAATAAATAAAAGTAAATATCGACAACAATACAAGACTGGCAAAATAGACTAAAATATATACAGTTGAAACCAGAAGTTTACATACACTGCATGAAAAGACACATAATGTTTTTTTCTCACTGTCTGACATTAAATGTGACGAAACTTTTCCTGTTTTAGGTCAGTTAGGTTCACCAAAGTTATTTCTTATTTGCGAAACGCCAGAAAAATGAGAGAGAAATGTTTTAGAGAATTTTTTTACTACTTTTTTTTTACTAAGTCAGAAGTTTACATACATTTCCTTCGTATTTGGTAGCATTCCCTTTAAACTGTATGACTTGGGTCAAACGTTTTGGGTTCCTTCCACACGTTTCTCACAATAGTTTGCTGAAATTCTGGCCCATTCCTCCTGACAGTACTGATGTAACTGAGTCAGGTTTGCTGGTTGTCTTGCTCCACATACCTTTTCAGCTCTTCCCACAAATTTTCTACAGGATTAAGATCAGGGCTTTGTGTTAGCCACTCCAAAACATTGACTTTGTTGTCCTGAAGCCACTTTGTACCTAATTTGGTGGTATGTTTAGATTCATTGTCCATTTGGAAGACCCATGTGTCCCCAAGCTTTAACTTCCTGACTGATGTCTTGAGATGTTGCTTCAATGTTTCCACGTAATGTTCTTTTCTCATGATGCCATCTATTTTGTGAAGTGCACCAGTCCCTCCTGCAGCAAAACACCCCACAACATGATGCTGCCACCCCTGTACTTCACAGCTGGCATGGTGTTGTCAGGCTTGCAAGCTTCCCTCTTTTTTCTCGAAATGTAACGATGGTCATTATGGCCAGACAGTTCAATTTTAGTTTCATCAGACCACAGGACATATCTCCAGACATTAAGGTCTTTGTCCCTGTGTGCATTTACAAACTGTAATCTGGCTTTTACGTGTTGTTTTTGAAGTAATGTCTTCTTCCTGTCTGAGGAGCCTTTCAGTCCATGTCGGTACAGGACTCGTTTCACTGTGGATAATTACACTCTCTTACCAGCTTCAACAGCATCTTCACAAGGTCTTTGCTTTTGTTCTGGGGTTGATATGTACATTTCACACCAAAACACTTCATCTCTGGGACACAGAACCCATCTCCCTCCTGAGCGGTATGATGGCTGGACATTCCCATGGTGTTTATACTTGTGTATAATTGTTTGAATAGATGAATGTGGAACCTTCAGGCATCTGAAAATTGTACCCAAGGATGAACCAGACTTGTGGAAGTCTACAATTCTCTTCCTGATATCTTGGCTGATTTCTTTAGATTTTCCCATGTTGTCACAAAAGGAAGCAGTGTGTTTGAGGTGTGCCTTAAAATACATCCACAGCTGTGCCTCTAGTTAACTTAAATGTTGTTAATTACCTATAAAAAGTTTCCAAAGCCACGACATCATCATCTGGGCTTTCCCAAATAGTTTAAAGGCATAATAATCTTAGTGTATGTAAATTTCTGACCTTGAAGAAAGTAGTAAAAAAAAATCTATCTCATTATTGTGGCAGTTAGCAAATAGAAATAATTTTAGTAATCCTAACTGACCTAAAACAGGAAAAGTTTAGTCTGATTTAATGTCAGATAGTGAGAGAAAAAAAGGTTTTATGTCTTTTTATAGAGTGTATGTAAACTTCTGGTTTCAACTGTACATCCATACACTGCTTAGTCCTCACTAGGGTAACTGTACATAAATGGACAAATTCTAATAATAGCAATAATAATGTGGGACATAACAACAAGAGGCTACCTGACTTTTGGTTTAAATTGGATAGAATTATTATAATTAAAACTGTTGACTTTTTTTATTGTGTAACTGAATCTTTGGCACAGCTAGTAATGTTAAAACACATGTAATTGGTGGTTAGCTTTTTTTCTGTTTTTCCATAACTATTTTTAACATAACTCTTCCTGTTCTTCTGCATTGTTTTCATAGCTAGGTAAAACGTCAGGGGAAATTACTGGCTGTAACTGTATGTGGAAAATCAGGAGACTTTTCTGATTGCATGTAGACTAGGAAAAATAAGTGGGTAATTAAAGTCGTCCTCAAATTTATTCATACCCTTTACCCATTAAAGAAGGGAAAAAACTGCTGTCACTGAAATAAGTTGAAACTGATAAAAGTAATAATAAATAAAAAAAAATTATGAAAATCATGACATTGCTTTTGAATTGTGGTTCAACAGAATTTAAAAAATAAATAAATGAATAAAAAATAAAACTAGCAATCAAGCATGATGGGACCCGTAAACTAATATTTTGTTGAACAACCCTTTGAGCCAATCATTGCAATCAAGTGTTTTCTGTAACTCTCAATCAGACTTCTGCGCCTGTTGACAGGTATTTTGATTTTGGCCCACTGCTCATCAGCAAAGCGCTCTAATTTGTCTGGGACAGTTTTTTCTTTTTTTTTTTTAATTATTCTTTTCAACCACAATTCAAAAGCAATGTCTTAATTCACTAAATTATAATTTTGCAATTTTTTATTTATCATTACTTTTTTGAGTTTCTAGTTAGTTGAGTGACTATTGTGAATTTTGCCTTTTCCTTAATGGAAGGGTATGAATACATTTGAGCACGACTGTACATGCGAATCACTGGCAATGCCAAATAGAACTGGTAAATTCTGAAAAGATAAAAGTTTAAGGATCAAATTGACCACTTGGTAGAGCCATATCTTCACATTAAGCAGCTAAAAAGCAAGCCAGTCTCCTCTGTGAGCTGTCTTCATCTGACTTCCTCTGGACGCGCCCACTGCTCTGCATGCTGACAGCACGTACCTGCGCGCACAGGACGCAAGCATTCAGCTGCGAGACATGGCGAGGTTAAGCGAGCATGGGATTCGCCTGAGTTCCGTACGTATATCCAACATTTCACATCTATTGTTTGTACTTTCTTCCATATTAAGTTGCAGGGTGAATCCGGATGCAGGTGATGGGGCAGAAATCGATAAATGCAGCTGTGCCAAACTCACCGACCTGTTTCTGATTCTATCTCCAGATGAGTCCTTCCTTCCTCAACAGCAACTCTACCAGTCACACTTGGCCGTTCAGCGCTGTGGCAGAGTTAATAGGTAGGAGACAATAAGAAGAAGAAGGAGGACGTTGAGACTTTGCATAGTCTCCGCACCTGCACACTCTTCGGGCTTTTCGTGCTTTCATTTCGTGCGCTCTTCCGCCGTCGCGCACAAACCGCCCTGCGTTTGCGTTAAAGAAAAAAAAAAAAAGTTGGACCGACAGGACTTCCTCTTTGACACCCGCAACGATTTTTACTACTGTGTTTACGCCGAAAACACCCTGTTAATTCCTGCTGACAGTTTTTAAACCTGCTGTGGTAAACAATTATGTTCTTAAGTTAAGAACAAGTGCGCTTATTTCGGTGTGTCTCCTTACGATCCAAATAACATCATTGGTATTGTGATAACTTAACTGCGGTAAGGGTATTCTATATAATCGCTGCTGTTCTGAAGCAATTCTGAGACTTTGGCATATGCACATGAATTGTGGGTCTTTGATTTTTGCGTCCATAAGACGACACCTCGTCAGTGTGCGCTGTCAACATTGTCATTCCTCCACTGTGTGCGCTCTCATTGGCTTAGACGAGCAGTCAGTCTGTTGGCGGCTAGTTTTTTAGCAGGGATGGTGTCACTGTTAGTGCATTGTTGGCCTAGAGAGCATGTGACCTAGTAGGGCTTATGTAGAGTAGAGTTCATACTTTAGCATTAGAAAACTGCTCCTGGAAAGATAAGGCCCTGCAGCAAATTCTAATCTTGGATGTTTAGTCATTGTTGAATAAGGTATGAAATGATCTGTACAGCAGGTGCATGGTGTAACATAGATAGATAGATGGATGGATAGATAGATAGATAGATAGATAGATAGATAGATAGATTATTCAAGGAGCAATTCAAGGTTTCCATTTACCAAAAATGAAAAAAAAATAATAATAATAATAAGTTGGTATTTACAATAAAATAGAGTATTAGATACATGCAAATAGGTACAATTTGAAACTAAAACTAATACTGACCATATTGGTCAATATTATTGGTTGTGTTGCTCAGTTAAGTTGAGAAGCTGTCATAGTTACATAAGAATATAATGCACCACATTAAAAACCACCTAATGTTGTGTAATATTGTCCACCTTGTGCTGCCAAAACAGCTCTGAATAGTCAGTCGGCATGGATCCTTTAAGTCCTGTGAGTTGCAGGATGGATCTTGTGTTTTCATCCCTTTGATGCTTTATTAAATTGGGATCAGGCGAATGTAGAGGACTGGTTGACATGTGGCGCTCTTTGTCGTGTTCCTCGAGCTGCTCCTGAGCAGTTTTTGTAGTTTGGCAGAGTGCATTGTTCTTCAGGGGGTGGGTGCGCTTTGTCTGCAACAATGTTTAGGTGGGTTTCAAAGGACCCAAAGTCCTGCCAGTACAGCATCTACAGTAACTTGCTCATATACCTGCAATAATTAACATCATACATTTTAACAGAATTAACTTTCTCCATCTGGCATGTTCCAGATAATGCGTCCGATCCTGGCGTGTTTGCGAAACAGATCTGGATAGATGCGGTTCATGAAGCCGATCACCTCTGTGTCACTTTCACTGATAATGGCAGCGGCATGACCCCCAACAAACTGCACAAGATGCTCAGGTGAGACCTGTGCACATCCATGTGAAGTAACTGAAAGACAAAAAACATTTCATAGCACACAGCATCAGAAACACAGAGTTCTGCTTTGCTTTTCTGCATTCAACTCACAAACTCACATTTTCTCACAAAGTATTTATTAAATTCACACCAGAGAGTCATTTTTCACACTGGCAAATTCTGGAAAAGCTTTTTTCACTCGTTTTATTTGATAAACCGATTGCTGATTCATGATTAATAGTTCTCTATAGTGGAAGTAGTCCTTGGTTCTCTTACTTCCTCACTCTCCCCTTCACCTTTGTGTCCAGCTTTGGTTTTACAGAAAAGGGCTCAGGTAAAGCCAGTCATCAGGCCATCGGCGTATATGGCAATGGCTTCAAGTCTGGCTCGATGCGCCTGGGTCGTGATGCGCTCATCTTCACCAAGAACGGTGGCTGTCAGACCGTGGGGATGCTGTCTCAAACCTACCTGGAAAACATCAAAGCCCAGGCCGTCATCGTCCCCATAGTCCCCTTCAACCAACAAACCAATATCCTTCACATATGGGTCATACGGAGTAGAAAGAAGGGAATATTTGAACCGGTAGATACACTGTCGCATCAGAATGTCTTCATGATTTCTTGATATGATCACTGTAAGCCATCAGACCATGATCATGATGACATACAACGTGACCGACTTGCAAGTAAGCAGCCCAAGTTTAAAGAAAGAAGTGACTATTCCGTCCATCCATTATCTATACACCGCTTAACCCTCACTAGGGTCGCAGGGGGACTGGAGCCTATCGCAGCTGACTTCGGGCGAAGTTTGTCACTATGCGTGCTGCCTTGTGTTCTCTCCTTAACTCAGTGCTACAGTCACTGGTTGTGACCGAGGACTCAGAGGCCAGCCTGGCAGCCATCCTCCAGCACTCCATCCTCAGCTCCCTGGACCAGATACATGTACACTTTGACTCCATTCTTTCCAAAAAAGGCACCAAGATATTAATCTGGAACATCCGCAGGTCAGAATCATGCATATGCTCATGCTATATTTAAGTTGGAAATACAGGATAAGATCGTATTAAGTGACAAATGGTTTTTGTTTAACTAGTAGCATCTGGTTTAATCTCAAATACAGACTTTCACTTACTTGTAGAGAAAGTTTAATATTCGTCTCACACCTGTCGTTTTAATGTGAAATACACTCTGATTAACATGTTTTATCGCACAAGTTGTCGGTTTAGTTTTTGTTGGGAGTAAACAAAGATGTAATGTGATGCCCCATCTCTTCTCGAACTCTCTCCAACAAAGCAAACAAGCATGTTTCCCAAAAGGTTGAACTATGTACTTTAGTTTGAGTTCACCCAAAATGTCTTCGTGTCTAAGTGGGTGGGTTGAGTGTCGGTCTAGTGTAGCACCTGTGAGACTGACGGGCATGCTTGACAAACATGAACAGAGAAAGGCAAATGGGTATGAGCACTCACATATGATATTTGTTTAAGCATGGATTTAGGCAAATCCATGCAAAGTAACACATGCTCAAAAACAGAACCTCCGTCTTCCTAACAATAGTAAAGATTTGACATCTTTTTCTCCTGTGGATTTCTTATTAAAGCAATTAGTAGTCTAGAGTTCAATTGCTGCACAGCGCTAAGAGACAGCGGTTTAAGTTTCTCATACCTCCTGTTTCACTTCCTCTTCACACTGGAGATAGAGAATGGTCACCACAATGATTATAATCAGTCAGCACGAAGCACTGCACTTGAAAAGATAAGTCAAAGGGACTTCCCGGTAGCTCAGCCAGATAAGACGGCGACCCATGTGCAGGGGCTACAGCCCCCGATGCAGTGTCTCTCTACACTGTCCTGTCAAACAAAGGCGAAAAGCCCAAAAAAATAATCTTTAAAAAAGAAAAAGAAAATATTAGTCAAAGCAATCAGTTGCGGCAATGAGACACATTGTGGGGTTAAACCCTAATTTTGTGGCTTATTTTCTAAATATCTAAGTTAAACTTTACATTCAATTTGAATATCCTTTAAATATGGCTCGGTAACGTGAAACACAATGTGCCATGAACTTTTCTAACAACTGCTTCTTTTCATGTTACTCTGAAGAGCCAAAGACGGTAAGACGGAGATCGACTTTGAGACCGATCCAAGTGACTTTCGTTTACCTGAGATTCAGATTGAAGAACTGCAGAAGGGTCAGAGGAACAGCGGATCACTGAGAACTGAGCACAACATCCCAGACATGCATTACAGCCTCAGGGTGAGTTGGTAAAAATATATCATCTCAAAAAGCTGGAACTGTGTAGTTATTGTGATGGCATTGATCAGACCAGTACAGTGTTTTTACACTATATAATAATCAGGCTTGTTTGGATACTTAGACACATTTGGGTTGGTTTAAGGGTGAGAAGTTTAGAACAGAGTGCAAGCGAGAGATGCAGTGGTTGTGGTTAAGGTTTCAGTACTGACAGGTGGGGAATTTGCCAGGTGGCCTTAAATAAACACAAACACCTGGAACCCCCTACCAGTCAGTTAGAGCAAAGGTAGTCTGACTCACCGGATGTAGACTTTAGGTATAAACCTGCCATAAAGTGGCTGTGCATTTAACAAGACTTCCACGTGACGCTATCTGTGTGTTACCCTTTCATTACGGGAGACGACAACAACGTCTGGGCAGCAAACTACCACACAGAAAATTTAAAGTTTTGCCAAGGATTTGGAATGCAATAATTGCCCATTTTAATCAGTTCTTTGCTCCCTGCGTGCAAATGTTCAACCGAAACAATTCTCACATCGCTGTTTTGTGGGATCGCCAAAGCTGCAGCATTAGATAAAGAAATACAAACAAGCTATATCATTTTTTTTGACTATAGCTCAAACAGAATGGTAATGAAGTGCAGCCAGACCAGTTTTTAATGCAGAATAGACTGACAAAGCGAAACTAGAGCTGAGGAAGCCTCTTGGATGAAACGTCTACAAGAAACCAAAAACAATTCCAGTTGCCTTCTTCTAAAGTACTTAGGATGTGAGATTCCTATTAAGATGGATTTTTTTATGTTATTGCAATTTTAAAATTTTCAACACCATACCTTCGTTAAGAGACAGACATTAACAGACAGTGTCAGATTAAATTAACAGAAGTTGCTTTAAAATGCAAACTGTCTCACCTTTTGCATTCTCTCTTTGTGGGTTTGTCTGTGCGTCCCAGGCCTACCTCAGCATCTTGTACCTGAAACCAAGGACACAGATCATACTGAGGGGGAGGAAGGTTCTGACCAAGCTGGTGTCAAAGAGGTTGACCCACATTGAGCACGACGTGTACAAACCCCACTTTAGTGTATCCTTGCGCTGCCTTTGTATCAACTATATTTGCGTGCAGACAGGAAGTGAGAAGCTGGTGGCTTTTGGAAATGAACCAATCAGTGTTGCTTTCACTAATCTAACACGTGCGGTGTTTAACAGATGTTTGAGAAGGGAAAATGAAAACAATCACCGTGACTCCAAGTCATGTGGTTTGCATATCTATTGAGAATGCATTATCTTATTACTTTCATAGTTGTTGGTTTACTCACGTCTGCTGAAGACCTGTCAATGCAGAGTTTGGGGACTTCACTTTAGTACCACAACAGTTTTGTTTTTTGTTTTTTTCTTTGACTATGCCAAATATGTTGCACAATATCAAAGTAAAACATTTTAATGTAAGACAGGTAATTACACAAACCTTCTACATGATTTAAATGCACTACTCTTTGGGCTGCTGCTGGTTTTTGTTACCAGTTTTTAAAATGGAAAAACCCTGTAGCTATGGAAATATTACGTTTGTTGTAGACATCAAAACTTTTAATCCACCAAAACTGACTTGGGTGATACAAACTCATATAGTATATATATATCATATGTCATATATAATAATATTCAGTTTTTTATTGTATGTCTACAATTAATAATAAGAATAAGACACATTCCTAACATTTGTAACTGTAAATTTAATAATTATCTGCATTAATATTCATGTAATTACTATCAGCCATTAAATGTCTGTTTTTCGCTTTTGCTTCTGATACACTGATATTTTAAACTTGCAAAATATCCACATGACCTGATTCTATTAAAAATCCTGTCAGTGTGCAGTGCTGTTACCTTAACTGGTGTCTGTCAGAAAGAGAAGGTGAAGGTGACCTTTGGGCTGAACCCCAAAAACAAGGACCACTACGGCATCATGATGTACCACAAAAATCGACTCATCAAGGCGTACGAGAAAGTGGGCTGCCAGCTTAAGGTAAAGTAAAGGAACACACTGTGTACCTTCAAACGTAACTAGGGTTTTTTTTTGTTTGTTTGTTTGTTTGTTTTATCCTGGTTATCTGCCTCTGCTTAAATCTTCCTCTTCACTTTCCTCCAGGCTTCAGGTCAAAGAGCAGGGATTGGTGTCATCGGCATCATCGAGTGTAACTTTCTCAAACCTGCTCATAACAAGCAAGACTTTGAGTACACCAAAGAATACAGGTACGACACACATTCAGAATCAATCGCACAGGCTTTCGCTCATAAGGGCCTCGGCTTGGAGTGCAACACATAAAAGTGTCGTAATTTTGACAATGCACATAGTTACAGGTATTTGTTTCAATTCTCTACTCCCAAGACTCACCCTCGGCGCTTTGGGCCTAAAACTCAACGACTACTGGAAGGAGGTGACAGAAAAGAAGGCCAGAGAGCGGGAGTTTCAGGCTGTAGACAAAGATAAAAACAGCACTGATGAGTGAGTGTCAACTGTTTGTTCTCACAGTGGAAGCAGTAAAAATTCATTTCCTCGCCTTTAAGTGTCTTTATAACTTGACTCCAATGTAGCTGTCTGATCCCTGCATACCTACGCCCTCTAGAACTCTCAAACAATGGTGTCTGTGTTGCTCCTGTGTTCTATGGGTGCAGAGCTTTAATCCCTGCTGTTCTGACTGTCTGGATTGCTCTCCCTGTCTCAGTTCACAACGCTGGGCCTGATTATGTTTCTAATTACAGACTTAAGCTTCATTTTTTTAGGCAATTTTTACATAGTTTTTTGCTTGATTTCCACAAGGTGAGAGTCTTTAGGTTATGTATATGCACTTAAATTCCTAGAACTTAAATAATGTTAATGTTTTATTGTGTGTGTTGCACCACTGAAAGAGTATCTGGGTTCATCGGGTCCACCTGGCTGTAAATGTGTGTCTGACGCAGTTCTGTGAGCAGGTTGAATGATATCCCTCCTTCTCTTGCAGAACCTTTAAAACAAAAAGTGAAAATAGGTAATGTGTTTCCAAGGCTTGCAACCAGAGAACTGTGACTCAGCCTCTGGGCGAAGGCAGGAAACTTAAAGAGCCTTTAAAACCAATTCAGGACATAAATAATTTATATGGTGCACTAAAATGGAAAATGTGTACTTGCACAAATCGAGACTGATTGAGATCATTTGATGAATGAAATCCACGTTAACTCTGCTGACCGGCAGCTCTCACATGGCTGTGTTTACAGGGGTCCCCTGTGGTTACAGTGTGAAGAGTGTCTGAAGTGGAGAAGCATCCCTGCAAGCTATTGCACAGTCACTCCTGAAGACTGGAACTGCAGCATGAACCCCAACGCACGTTACAGGTGTGTGTTTTGTTGTTTTACTTTCTTCTGTTTGAATGAACGAACACAAAAGCTGGTGCATGTTCACCTCCATCACTATCAGAAGTACTACAGCAGTGTTGTTAGACTGCTTTAAATGGGGGGGAAATTATTATTTGCAGATATTTTATGAGCTAGCAATAGTTTTGTTCAGGTAAGTTGAGTAATACTTTAGCCTTTTAAACCACCAGTACTTTCTGGTGTTATTGTTTTATTTTTTTTCTCCTGTTGTCTTCGTACTGACTGCAATATAAAGTCTTGCACCTCTATGGAAACAGCACAACCAGGATTATAAGTACAGAGAACTCCAACAAAAAATATATGCAGTATGATAAAGCTCTAATTCTATAAATTAATAAAAATGTACAAAACATAAAAAGCCTGGAATCAGTACATACGATATTTAAGAAGTCCCTACAGGTGTTACCACTACTGGTATATAAGATGGTGACTTTACATGTAATAAACATTTTACTACTTCCATGTTTGGATTTGTTTCCATACTTATCTTCTACAATTGATATGAACACAGCCTGCAGTTCAACACAGTTCAGTTGAAAACTGCCTCATGTGTTTCAGTCATTTTTTTCAGTTGCAGCTGAACAGGGGCAAACTTTAAAACGTGACATATAGAATAAAATGATTTTTGATGAAATATCGCGATTTGAATTTTGAATGTGGTCAGTTTTCTCGGTGAAATGGCACTTTGCACATGTATGTGTGCACATTTCTGTTTGTATGGTTTCTGGCTCTAATAAACTGTATTATTTAATGAATTTTTAGTAAAGATAACATGCTTTTCAAACCACTGGCAAGTCACCAACATTCGCGCTGCTGTGCACTGCCTTAGATCAGACTAGTCATTCCCTTGAGAAAACTGATATCTGTGCTTCACAGCTAGAAGGCCGATTGAAGCTCAGTCCTTTTCTTCTTTTCCTGGCCTGTGTCTTCAGCTACCTACAGAGATAACGAGATTGCAAGCTAATAATGATAATGAACTATGACATCCCCAGTATGAATCCACTGTATAGACTCATGTCTCTGCCGTCCATAGAAAAGGGCTTTAGACAACAAGCAAGTGGTCTCATGCTCATATCTCTGACTGACTTGTATGATGCAATACTTCACTCCACGAAGCTGTCACTTAAGCCAGTGTGTGGGCGTCTATACCGGCTGAACTTTAGTAGCAGTAGAGTTGCTCACCCAGAGCTCTTTCTCTTTTCAGAAGCTGCTCTGCACCAGAGGAAGCAGAAGAGAGCGAGGAGCTGTTAACACCCAGCTACCAGAAAAACCACAAGAAACTGTAAATTCCCATTTCTCTTAAAACTCTTAAACTTTGACAACGTATATGAGACCTTGTGCATGAATGGACGTTTCACACTGCCGTTCTTTCTGTATGTGTGTGTATGTGGGTTCATGTGCCATTTTGTGGTTTCCATCTGTGTGTTTCATGCTCTTACTTCCGGTGGTTGTCCATGTGCCTCTGTATGTGTGTGAAAGAGAGAAGTTCAGTTTTTGCTAAACTCTATCTGATATAGTTGGTCTAACACGAGACTCAGTCTGGTCTTCGATGCATAGTGGCAACGTACTCAAAACAGCTTTAATTAGTTTTTAAAGTCTTCTTGTGAGACATTTTCAACCGAATGTGTTGTGAACATCTAGCTTATAGATGACTTTATATTTATTATAATTGCTGTAGATAGCTAACATTACTGTTTACGAGCAGCGTTGCCAACCCTCACATTTTTGGTACCTGCTTTTAAGTTCCCTGGTGCTCTCGAACTGCCCAAGCCATCCAATGCCAAACAAGACGAAGCCTCAAAGCTTCTCCTACATGAAGTAATATAGGTTATAGTTGCCAGTTAGCACAAAACACATACAGCTGAGTCTGATGGAACTGCCGTTAGTTTTACAGTTATAAACCAAAGTGTTGAACACGTTTAGACCACATTATGGTGCTAAAAGTTACAGATAAAAAGCTACGTGTAAACCGCAAATGCCTTTTATATTACAATCTGTCTAATAGTTACAGTGGTATTTCAGTCTGGACAAAAGTGGTGAACTGACCCATTAGATAATCCAAAAAATAGATGACATTAGAACCATTACAGAAATTATATTTTTAAGGCAAACCATTGAAAAATATCTTTCTTATCTAAGATCAACCTCAGCATGTACAGTTCCTATAAAAAAATATTCACCACACTTGGAAGTTTTCCCCTTTTATTGTGTTTCAACAGTTAATTATGATCAGTTTAATTTGGCTTTTTTTGACAAGAAGCTTTTCGCTTTTTTCAAAGTGAAAACAGATTTCAACAAAGAAATGTCAATTAAATGACAACATAAGATGTAAAACAAGTGATTGAGTAAGTATTCACCCCCTTCAAGTCAGTATTTACTAAATGCACCTTGGCTGTAGTTGCATCATTGAGCCTGTTTGGATCGGTCTTAACCAGTCTTGCACATCTGGACACTGCAATTTTAACTCATTCTGCTTTACAAATCGGTCTGGTTGCACAAAGATCAGAAGTAAATGGCACTTTTCAAGTCCAGTCACAAATTCTCAATTGGTTTAAGATCTGGGCTCTGACTCGGCCTCTTTAGACGTTTACCTTGTTGTCTGTAAAACATTTCTGTGTAGCTTTAGCTGTATGATTTTGGCTGTATGGCTGCTTCAGGTCATTGTCTTGTTGGAAAACAAATCTCCCAAGTCACTGTTCTCCTGCAGATTGTCTCAAGTCATCAGGCATTCATTTTACCCTCTACCCTTCCAAGGGCTGCTGGACAGCAGCATTCCCACATCATGATGCTACCACCACCATGCTTTACCATGTTGTGTTTGCGATGATGTGCAGTGAATGATATCTGCCAAACATAGCGTCTTGTCTGATGACTAAAAAGCTCAATTTTAGTGTCATCAGACTAAAGACCCTTCTCCAGTTGAGTTCAGAGACTCCCACATGTCTTCTGGCGAACTCTTGTATATTTAACATGAGCATTTTTGCATCAGTGGCTTTCTCTTTGCAACGCTCCCATTAAGCTTTGACTGGTGAAGAACAGGCCACAGTTTTATGTTCAAAATCTCTCACTGAAGCCTACAACTTTTTTAAAGGACTCATAGGTGTCTTGGTGGCCTCCCTCACTAGTCTCTTTCTTTCACTCAGTTTTTGAAGCTGGCCTGCTTTAGGCACATTTACACATGTGCCATCCATTATCCATTACCGCTTAATCCTCACTAGGGTCGCGGGGGGGGGCTGGAGCCTATCCAAGCTGACTCAGGGTGAAGGCAGGGGACACCCTGGACAGGTCACCAGTCTGTCACAGGGCTACACGTAGAGACAGACAACCAAGCACACTCACATTCACACAGAACATGCAAACTCCATGCAGATCCCAGGTGCCCCCACCTAGCTGCGAGACAACAGTGCTAACCACTGCTCCACCTTGCAGCCCCACATGTGCCATATTCCTTCAATTTGTCAATGAAGGATTTAACTGTATTCCAAGGGATATTCAAAGACTTCCTTGATTTTAGCATTTAGATAATCTTTTCACAGAGTTGTTTGGGATGTTCTTTGGTCGTCATGGTGTTGGTTACAGCCAGGAGTATTGATTTATCAGTGACTAGACCTTCCAGATACATGTGTATTTATACTACAGTCACTTGAGACAAATTTACTGCCCTCACATGATCTATATTTCACTACTTGTGGCACTTCTGGCCTCAATTGGCTGCATATGTGTTAAATTAGGGGAGTCGCTTTGAAGGGAGTTAATACTTGTGCAATCACTCATTTGACATTTTGTATTTTTTGATAGTTGACTTTATTTTGTAGTAGTATAAAAGCCAAAATCGCAGTTGGTAGCTCTGTTGCCTCGCAGCAAGAAGGTTGCTGGTTCGCGTCCCGGTGGGGGCACCGGGATCTTTCTGCGTGGAGTTTTCATGTTCTCCCCGTGCAGCGTGGGTTCTCTCTGGGTTCTCCGGCTTCCTCCCACACAGTCCAAAAACATGTTGAGGTTAATTGGTGATTCTAAATTGTCCGTAGGTGTGACTGTGAGTGTGCTTGGTTGTCTGTCTCTCTAAGTGTGGCCCTGCGATGGACTGGCGACCTGTCCAGGGTGTCCCCTGCCTTCACCCTAAGTCGGCTGGGATAGGCTCCAGCCCCCCCATGACCCTAGTGAGGATTAAGTGGTGTATAGATAATGGATGGATGGATAAAAGCCAAAATAAAATGACCATTGTTGAAAAGCACTAAAAGGAGAAAACTTACAAGGTGGGTGAACACTTTATTTATTCACCGAGTTTTGTTTTTATTTTTGTTTTATTTTCTCACAGAGAGCACCATAGAAGCAGAAAACGAGAAAAATCACTCGAGGTAAGTGTAGTATCTTTTGTGACACTGCCATTAAAGTACAAATGTAGTGTTTTTATGCTACATCTGGACATGAGTGTGTTTGGTTGTGTGTTGCAGGTTTGTGATTTCCAGGAACCGGTGGCTAAACATCACAACCTCTCACGCAGTTCATCAGAGCCGGTCCAGCCGACCTTCCAGTCCACACACACACCTGAGCGTACAACCGCAAGAATTCAGCACGATACAGAAGATGAGACGCTCCGACATGTTGAGACAGACACAGATCACCTCGCAGACCATCACGCAGACACAAGTGATGCGCAGACACAGTCGGTCACAAACACAGAAGAGAAACCTGTTGGAAGCAACATGGCCATTAAAGACCGGAATGAAACCACACCAGGACAGACGCTTGTGGAAAAAGAAACCGATGATCAGGAGCTTGGAGATGAAGAGTGTGACACAGAGAAAAACACGGAGGGACAAGAGGAGCACACAGACACTTTAAGGTGGGATGTGTTGCATGCTGCATGTAAGTTCAGACTCGTGTAAATGATCAAATAACAAGCACCTTATTTCAGGCAGTGTGATGTATTACTGCAGCGCTATTGGCTGATGAAGCGTTCTTGGGTCTCCACTTAAAAAGGTCAAGCATCTCAACACCTTTATGAAGGCTTGACAGTATGAGCTATAATAATATCTCTAAAGGAGTGATTTATATTTAAGGGAAAGAGAAACAATAGAATAGGATAGGACAATAATCTTTTTTCTTTTTTATCATTTATTGTTTGTCAGGAGACCGAGCATGTTTTAACACCATCACTGACATTTTTTAAATTTTATAACATTATCTGGCCACTGTTTACTATAGATAGAGTATGTACAAAGCATATAGTTTAAAAAAAAACATGGATATCACCTTATCCAGATTGAGTTATCACTTACGTCAAATTTTTATTTGAAAGAAAATGACAGTAAGCCTTCTTTGTTTTCCGATTCATTATAATGTGATAATAACATAACATCACAAAAAATCCTGGTCATGTGATCATCAGTGTGATGGAGTACTGGAATAATAAAGAGAATCTGGAAGGTGGCGAGACAGTTTGAGTTGGAAATGTTTGGAAATAAAGTTTAAATTTGCCAGTTAATGAGCTAAAAATTAACTGACTAACGTTTGTTTTTTTGTAGCCACAAAAGGCCGTCAGAGTCATTATTTTACTTTGTGAAGAAGAAGCGGTACTTCTGGGAGGACCAACTGCCTGATTCAGGAAATATACCAGATGAGTTGCATCCTGGGAAGCACACAAACGCATTCAAGATAGCGTCTGTGGAGACAAACAGAAAGGACAGCGGAGGACGAGCAGAGAACTCGGACACACTGCAGCAAACCCCCAGCTGCCACACCTGGACACACTCGCCCACCTCCACCCAGACTGTGATGGTTTCCCCGCTGAGCCGGACAGAAGGTTCACACAGCAGGACGCTGCCTCCAGAAGCAGGCGATCGGGAAGCGAAACTACAGAGGCTGGCTGGGTTGGAGAAGGAGGTTCAGAGGCTGCGGAGCCTTCTGGGTCTGGAAATCACAAAGACAACTCAAGCCACAATGACGAGTTCCTACTGCAGCGCTGAAAAGCAAAAACAAGACCTGGTGAAACCATCAGTGTGCACAGCAAGCACAGAGATCGGCTGCCAAACAGACATGGCTGAGGTCAGCACAGTTTATACTTAGTGCTTTAGATTTATTATAATAATGATGACTTGCAAAGCCTTAAATGTAAAGAAATCTTTGACACCGTTAATCGCTGTATGATCATGCATGAATTAGTTTAAATGTCCAGACGTTTTGCTACACACAGCTTACCTTACAAACTAATAGCCACTTTTACAACACCAAATTAGTTTTCTCTCACATGTTTCATAATGCAGCTAAAGGAAACATGTTTAAATAGTACTGTGCAACATTTGTTTCCTTGAAACCCACTTGACATAAATGGAAATAGTGCACAATAGTGCTTCTTTAAGAAAAAGAGCTGCTGAATCAACATAACATGCTTTATTTCAACTATATCTACCTACACACAGTTGTCTTAAATAAAAAGCTAACTTTAAGTAATCTTCTCCTTTCCCTCAGTGCTCTGCTTCCTCATCTTCCGGCCTGGTTCAGGCTGTAGGACCTCAGGGGCTGCTGGTCCAGGCTCAGAAAGCTGTATTAGAACCAAAGGATCAGTCTGAGCAGAACAGACCCAAAAAGAATGAGAGTCAGAGCAGGATGAAAGTCAGTGACGGCGAGGCCTGTGAAGACAGCAGGTGAGTTTTACAGACAGACCTGCATTTGCATGCACAGGCACCAAGGAATTGTTGCATAATCAGATGTTTGTATTTGACTCATACGATTAGGAACCTGTAAACGTAGGTCCTCTTATTGTAGATGTTGTTGGTGGATAGAATGAATGTTAGCTCTTACCAACACTTTTTTCTGTTAAAGCTAAATGTGTTTGTGATATCATTCCAATTTACCTGACTTATTCATGTATTAATATTATTACCCTACAATATTATATATTGTTGAAACTGACATGACTAATTTAAAAGGTTAAGATGACACAATATTATGTAAAATAACATTTTATCTGCCTGATCTGAATATTAGAGGTTGAAACCCTACAATATTAGGAAAAACTAAAAATTAACCTTACCCTATAAAAACATTAAGACTATGCAGTATTATATGAACACAAAATCACCTGACTAGCGCTAATACCAGTCTTAAGAATCTACAATATTATATGTTCCTATATATATATATATATATACACACACACACACACACACTTCTATTTATACTTGAAGATCAAGGTTAAGACCTGAAAAAAGGATACCTGGAAAACCCAACAAAGAAACAAGAAACATTCCCTGTGGAAACCAAATTGATGACAGTGTCGAGGAAAAACTTCATTTCAATGGGAAGCTGCAATAATCATAACAAAAATCAGTGGCAGAATAAGTATTCAGTGTACCTGTTACTTACAGTAGGGTAGAAATAAAGGTAAAATTCAATTGATTTAATTACCGCTGCATTAAGGTTTCCTCGAAGGGAGTAGAGTTGAGTTGTGACCAGCTTTAAATAATGGAGCTGTCATCCAATCAGATCATCACAGGAGAATCTACGGGACATCCGCAACAACGTGGTGGTGCTCCTCACGGCCCTCCTGCCCCAACTGGACCTGGCTGGCATCAGTATGGATACCACCGACGTAGACAGCATCCTGCAGCAGATCATTGAGGTCAACTCACTGAAACTATGATTGGAACTAATCCCAAGAGGAAGATGTCGTCGGTGATTTGTTTTTATTGTGTTTTTATACAAAATTTGGTTTGATATAACTATGTGTGACATAAATATACAGTATATGGTCAGAATTATCTTTAAATGCTCTGTTGGAAAGAAGTGTCATGTTATTGTTCTGTCACCGCTAGTGCCTGTGGATGAGCTCAGTAATGTCGTATCTTTACAGCCATGTGGTAAACAGTTTGTGGACATGCAAGAGTGTGTCGCTAGTTATAGTAACTCAGTGTGTTTTCAATTACAGTTCAGGTGTATATATTTGAAGCGCTGGCACTCACTAGTCAACAATGCAAATATGCAAAAATCTGAAAAATAGGCACAAAACTATTTGGTGCTATTTTGCATGTAGTTCCATAGTTTTATAAACTAAAGACACAAACAGTTGTACAGAAATGTATATTTCTATAATTCATGAGCAGAGACAAAACACCAAATCTGACAACTCCTAACTATGAAGCTTTCTTCTACACATGTATTGCTTGTTTGCAGCAGTCCGTTGTCATATCATTTTTAATACAGTCGACAGTCTTTAATAAGCTTTGTTGAGAGCCTGTGGGCCCCACTGCTGTAAAAATTTGAGGCTTTTCTTTGGAAACTCTTTCCTTATTTTTCAAAAGTGTGCTTCAGTTCAGTTTACTTTCATTAATATAACACCAAATCACAAGAGACTATATGTCATTTAGGGCACTTTGAATCTCAAGATCTTACAATATCATAGAATTCCAGCGAGTTCCTGTTGAGAAAGGACCTGGTGACCAGCAGAACCAGACTCAGGTTGTGAGAAAACACGACCAGTGAGAAACAACAAAGAATCAAACAAACACTGGGCGCCTTAGTCAGGCCAGAAAATGCAGATCGGAAACATGCAGCTAATCTTAAAAGTAAAGAGAGCATCTGTCTCTTGAACCCAAACTGAGATCTGGTTCCACAGCAGAGGAGCCTGATAGCTTATTCTGCTTTTGTAAACTCTAGGAACCACAAACAAGTTTGTACCCTGAAAGTAAAGTGTCCCACTGGGGTGGTATGGAACTGAGGGACATCCTGTGGAAGGAGAAAGAGAAGGGAGCCAATGGAAAGAAGCTAATATGATAAACTAATAATAATAATTCGATCAGCTGGAAATTTTCTGCATAGTTATAATGACGTTGAGATAATAACTAATTACAGCAGTGCGTCCTGGAAGTAAATACATGGAGTAGCTTTTCAGTATCACTTTGAGACTGAATGTTCCTTGTTTTGACGTTATCATACAGATGAAAGAAGGCCGTTCTAGAGTCTTGATTTATGTGTGAGTTAAAGGACATGACCTGGTCAAAAATAACTTCATGATTCTTCACAGTAGCACTGGAGACCAAAGCAGTGGCATCCAGATGGTTAGATAATGTGTTTCAAATGCATTTCAGGCCAGATTCATGTATTGCTGTGTTGTTTTTATTTGTTTCTATCTGTTTTTATTGAAGTAAGTCATACATATATATACCTTTTTTATCTGTCAGTGATGGAGTAATGTGTTTACATATATCTAAAAAAGAAGACTTCACATGTTTGCATTAAAATACTGAAACTACTTATTGTTGCCTGCCTCTGTTTGTACAACCCTGTGCTCTTCATCACTGGGATGCAGTACCTCTTTGTACCACAAGGTGACAGTGAAGCCTGCTAAAGAAACACGTTTCTGTTAGGAGGCCACACTCTGACAATAATGTCATTCTCTTTTTGTACTGTATGAAAACTAAAATGTATTATTAGTTTAGCGTGGTGTATACGTTGTCATATTGTAGAAATTTTTGACAGTGCACCACTCCACCAGCCAAAATGTTCCGGAAGTTTTGCTTGAGGCTAAAATGTTTCTGTTATCTGACAACATCTATACAGTAGCAGGTGTGAAGACATTTGCTGCATGTGTTGATACAAGGTGAACAACTATATATATTCATGTAGAGTTACACTTCATTATGACACACATGTTTCAGTTAAAGTATTAGTTTATAAACTCCCTATGAACTGTTAATAACAATAATAACATTATACATATTTGCAAACCAACACTTTAGTAGTAAGCAGTTGCAACAATAAACAAGCTGTTGATAAATTAACTGTAGTCCAGATGACAAATGTACATGTAAAAAAACATCTGGCAGTAAGCCTGCCTGAGAAAATGTTTTTGGCTTTTTTTGTAAATGGTGAAAATAATGGCAAATATCTGCAATATAATAGCATTGTAAGCCAATTTAAATATAGTAAAACTACAATTGTAGTTGGGTTTTTTTGTTTGTTTGTTGTTTTTTTAAATTCACATTTTAGATGTGGACATTATTTACTGTTATGGTCCATTTTTGTTTTTGTTTTTTTACAGTCAACATGAAAATTAATACTTTTTCCCCTCAGAATTTACTACTATTATTTGTAATTAAACAAATCAGGGAAAATATGTAAAGTAACAGTGTCCACATGTGCAGGACTGATTAAGAGCTGCCGTCCTTTTTGGTAAATTTTCGTGTAATAAAAAAAAGTTGACTAGTTTTAAATTCTTAATTTACATAATTATGTTTTCAAATAACAGGAAAAAATCTGAAAAATGACAATATTTGAGTTATTATGTGCAATTGAAAAAAACAGGGAACATCTGCAAACTAACAGTAAATTGCTCCAAAAATTACAGCTAAAAAATGTTGTTATCAAAAAAGTACACATTTTTTTTACAGTGTAGCAGGACAGAATGTTTCCCAACCTGGAAACCTTTGTGTTAATATGTTATTATTTAGTTCCTCACCAGCCTTTAACAGTGGGTGGTTATTGCTCATGTGAGTAAAGATTGTTTTTTCTGATGACGTTGTGCCAAAGTGGTGCGTAAAAGTCAGATTTCCTTCCCAAAGACGGTAAAGTCTTGTGTGATGGCATCACAACGGAGCGTGATGTCACTGACACACTCCCTCCAAACCATCACGCACCTCTCTCCACCCCCATGCCCTTTAAATATTTCAGCCCGCAGGAGGAGCACCAGAGCCGGGACGCCATGGACAGGTCAGGTGCGATCAGAGCGACTCTGGTGCTTCTGCTGCCGCTGATCTGCTGCTCAGCCGGACTACCTCAGCAGCAGCCCGCCGCCACCGTCAGAGAATATTACATTGCAGCTGTAGAGATCGGCTGGGACTACATCCACCTGGATGACAATGACCCAGCGTCCGACCAAAGGTGAATATCTCCATGTTTAATTCGGCCAAAGAACAATCTGATGTCAAATTCAGACCTTGTAGTTAAATCAAGTGGAAAAGCCAATAGGATTAGTTTAATTAGGTTGGTATTGCTTCCACACTTTAAAAAGTAATTCAGGGACCACCCTTAAATTACTTTATTGACTTAGATAACCTTTTAGGTCGTTTTAAGCTGTTTTGATGAGTTTTGTTAACCTAACAATGTTGTTAGTTACACCGACTCAATTTTGTGTGTTATGTATTAATTGTTTTAAAACAAAAGTTAGGTTGTGGTAAGTTAATTAAATGGGCTTGATGACTTCATTTTTCAACCTCTTGAGTTCAAGATTTCAAATCTTCAAAAACTTGAGAAATTTATGGTACTGATTGTTTTCTAAATGATCATTTGATTTTACAGTTATGCAGAGGAATGATTCATTTCATTAACTCAGCATAGTTTGTTGGTTGAGCATAATTTCATTAAGTTATCATAAGAGTGCTTTATATATGTATAATTTGCCCCCTTTTTTTTCTCCTTTTTTTTTTCTTTTTTCTTAGATGGAGACCCAAAGGCATTCCTCAAAAATACATCAAGGCTGTTTACAGGGAATATACAGACTCCACATACACTGTTCCCAAGCCGAGACCACCTTGGACAGGTACTCTAGGTCTCCTCTTCTGATATCGTCAGTTTTCGCGGCCATACATATTTTGCATCATATCACATTTTGTGTTAATGTATTAACAACCAAAGACAGTCAGTATATTTGTGAGAGACTTTAAAACTGATGCTGTGGATAAATACTTTGCTCCTGTCCATTCAGTTTGTTTCAAATTAGCTTGTTCTCTGGTTGCAGGTATTCAAGGCCCGGTGATCGTTGCCCAGGCTACTGATCGAGTGGTGGTCCATTTCAAAAACCTCGCCTCTCAGCCCTACAGCATCAGCCCCGTAGGAATCACCTACTGGAAACAGTCTGAAGGTGGGCGAACTGAATGGAAAGAGCTGCTGTCAGGAACTTCTTGTTGTACTCTGTCACAAACTGTATGTTAGTCAACACATTCTGTTCTTCTTGGTCAAGTAGTGAGCAGCAACCTGACTCAGCCTGTTGACTCACTCTGTTTTAATGTGAGGTCCAGGTTTTGCTGTAGAGACAGTGGCAAAAACAGAAAAGCTTTGAAGTTCACTGTTGGGTGCGACTGTGATTGAGGTCTCTGGTACTGCTTAAGTTTGAAATTGCGTTTGAGTCAAAACTGAGGGGGGCAAAGGTTTTAAAGGAAACCCATTAATGGTTTGATTACGTTTTTCAACAACAGCTTGGTAAACGTTCAGAAATTACCAAGAAACGAGACTTATCCAAAAAAGTGGCCTCCTCATTCTTCAGAAATTACAGAGAGCAACGGTTATCATTATCTTGGGTGTGCAGATCTCGTGCAGCCTGTTAATGCCAATCAGTCAGTCTTCAAACTTATTGCATCCTTACCAGTGTCTCACCAGGATATAACTGAATATCCCCGACTTGAGCAGCTTTTGAGCGTTAATACCGTTTTTGGGAAGGATTGGCACATGTTCCAATGTTGCAATTGACCCAAAGCAGTCGCTTCCCATAAGCAGCTCATGTCTTCGCACGCAGTAGATTCCTATAACTGAGCTTCTCATAATCTGAAAAGCTGCTCCAGGAATCAGACTTCCCGAAGTAGATCTAAGCACATTAATGTGTAATATTACGGGGGAGAAGACGTTGCTGCGAGTGGGCATGTATGTGTGCACGTGTCTGATGGAAGTCATTATTGCACATTGTTGTGAGTCAGTGCTTCCCATGGATGTGGTTTTGACCACAACATACACTACAGCTCCATTTTATTCCTTGTTATACAGGCAAACTTCCACAAACATTTCCTACAATGTCAAATGAGGATTTGTTGAAAATTTTAGCACATTATCCCCTTATCGTAATTACAGACCCTCTTTTTCCCTCGAAGTATTGGAGTGGTCTTCATACTTTCCGTTTTACTACATAATGATGTCATGCTACTGCTTTGAATCCCTTTTGCTGCTCCAAGAACACAGAGGAGTCTTGACAGTCATGCTGTGTGTTTTCTCTCAAGGGGCCGGCTATGATGATGCCACAGCAGGCCAGGAGAAGGAGGATGATGCCGTCTCTCCTGGAGGATATTATGAGTACATTTGGGACATCAGCCCTAAAGACGGTCCCACCGCCAGTGACCCTGACTGCCTCACATACTCATACTCGTCCCAGGTGGATGCAGTGCGAGACGTCAACTCGGGACTCATCGGTGCCTTGCTCATCTGTAAACCAAGTCAGTGTGCTGCCAGTTAATAATGAATGAATGATACTGTCTGTGGGTCATTACCCATAAACTGTGAACACATAGCTGTGAACTTATTTTAACTAGTATTTGGGGATTTAAAAAAAAGAAAAAGGGGAACAGTCATAAAAGCTGCTCTATGAGGCTGTACTTAGATGTTTTAAACTGAATGTTAACATCAATATGACAATATTCTAACAATGACAACATACTAATGCTAATCAGATATAATGTTCATCATGCTTACCATCTTAATTTTGCACATTTTATTGACACAACTTCACATTTTAGAGTTCACAGTGGACAAGGTGCAGGTTAGGCTGATGAGAATGTTGTTAGTTTTGCAGGTATTTGATCATAAAATAAGGTACTAGACAAATAAAAAAAATGACTCACTGATGACACTAGACTAAAAGTTAGACAATGTAATGTTTTTTTTTTTAATCTGCAGAAGACATGAATGCTTGTACCATATTTGATTTCACTCAAAACCAAAAATTGAAACCTGTGCAAGACACTGGAGAAAAAATTGCATCACAGTCAGTGGGAGTTGTTTCCGGGCCAACATGAACACCAGACCAAACTCCACTGTAATCCAAACAACAGTTGTTGAGATTGTCTGGCATAGACTTGAGTGGTGACCCGACCAACAGACTGACAGTGACATATCTAAAGCCATGCTGCTAGATAAAGGCCAAAAGTGTATCTGATAGAGATACTGGCACTGAACTGGGTTATCTCAATTTAGAAGAAAGAGAATTTGAAAGAAGGGAGGAAAAAAGTGGAATGTGTACAAGATAACATGTAGAATTCTAGACTACATCATGATATTGCAAGCCTAACATCTCCCCCTGCATCGCATTCATATGTATATGTTTCCTCAGCTGCCTTCACAGATGATGGGCAGAGGAGATACGCGGCGTTCGTCCTGCTGTTTGCAGTGTTCGATGAGACCAAGAGCTGGTATGGAGAGGTAGGAGAGAGGCTGAGCAGAGAGAAGTTCAAGAGGAGCGACGGCAGGAAGGAATACCACACCATCAATGGATATGTCAACTCTACACTACCTGGTAATGAAGCAGTCTGGCTCAGGCAGGCTTGTTCCATGAAGCTTTGCTGTAATGTTAAGTGTTGATCACACTGTTGTATCAGCGGCTGCGTTGGATGTTGTCTGCACAGGAATTTGTCCTCATTTTCCTTCTCCCACTCTGTTTGTGTGTGTGTAGGTTTGACAGTGTGTCAGGGCCGCACGCCTGTGTTTTGGCACATGATTGGGATGGGCACCGCTCCAGAAATTCACTCCATTCAGTTGCAAGATCACTCTTTGCAGGTAATTTAAGGCTGCACATAAATAATATCTGATTTAAAGATTAAAAGAGATATTTTTAATCTCCTAAACTAGATATTTTAATCATTACTTAACACAAATTTGATAAAGAAATAAATAGACTGCAATTTTTGTCTCACTAGCCTGTCATAATCCAATCTATTATATACATTAATAATATAATAATATAAACTAAACCAAGGCTATTCCCAGATTACTTATTTGCTTTGTCTACATTGAACTTAACTGCAGAAGTAGAACAGTGGCAACATCATCAAACTGTGCTTGTTGTCCACCTGGACTTAGCTTTGTGAAAAAAGCTGTAGCTTGTTTAAAGGAACGTCATTTAGCAGTAAAAAAAAAAAAAAAGCTAGATAATGTGAAATGTTAGACTTTCTTTGTTCTGATTGTATTAAAAGCCAGTGTATTGGCTTTGTTTCTTTCAGGTACTGACCCATCGTAAAGTCACCGTGGAGGTGACCCCTATGACCTTTATCACTGCAGAAATGAGAGCCACTACCGTTGGCCGCTTCCTCATCAGTTGTCAGATTCCCTCTCATCATCAGGGTAAGAAAGATGCAATCAGTCACCAAATCTAAGATGATCTGTTTCCCTGTTTCCCTGAAATGGTAACTGTTGTTTTGCACTGCTGTTTAACATAGATGGCATGAATGCATTGTTCAATGTGGAGAAATGCCGTGAGCCTGTCACCCCGCCGGTTCCTGGCCTGCGAAAGGTCAAACACAATTACGATTACAGGGAAGACGATGAAGACAGCAGTTATGAGTACCCTGATGACTTGTTCAACACCATAAGCTTTCAACCCAAGAAGCCAAAAGTTCAAGCCAGAGCCAGCAGAGGACAGCAGTCCAAAACCTGGGTGCATTACATCGCTGCTGAAGAGGTCACCTGGGACTATGCTCCTCATTTGGACCCCACAGACAGGTAGGGAAAAACAAGGAGAGAGGAGGAAGAGCAGAGAGTTAGGTGCTGAGAAGATTTTTATTTAATTGATTTTTTATCTTCTTGCTGCATCAGTGATTTGCAGTCCACATACCTGCCTGCTGTTCCCCATCACCTCGACTACAAGTATAAAAAGGTTGTGTATGTGGAATACACAGACGGATCTTTCACCCAGAGGAAAAATCCTGACAACACACTGCTGGGTCCACTTCTGAAAGGAAAAGTCGATGATGAGTTCCATGTGAGTGAAGCCAATTTCTGACAACAGAGCTTATGGTGATACATGATCAAATTTGAGCAAAGACAAATAAAAGTGACCACTGTCATACAAAGGCAGAGCTAAACGTATGTAGTTCCTGTTAAAGCGGTGGCTCTTTGAACGGCTTTCTTATTGATTATCCACTGGTCTGAATTGTTTCCAGATCATTTTTAGAAACCTGGCCAGTCGTCCTTTCAATATCTTCCCAAAAGGCCTCACCAAGATCCTTCCACTGCAGAAGTCCACAAATGGTAAGCAGACTAAACTGATGGCTTTTGAATTAGATCAGTTTTATAAAAATTTGAGCACCTTAAAATTTGCCGCCTAATGAGAAAGAAGTTTTAGTGTCTTTATTTTCTTTATCGTGGCATTTTTCCAAGTGAAACCAATGATATGGAGACATGTCATTTCAAGAGAAGTTCAGCTTACTGCATTACACTTGATTGGGTTGCCAAGAAGTAGGGGCAGCTTTGCAAACATGAGTTTCTGGCAAAATAGAGCAATACAAGGTAAATGGCTTCAAATCTGGACACAGAGAAAAAGGAGGAGATTAATAAATCCTCTTCTTGTAGCAAGTGATAGTTCTCTCTTAGCTGCAACAGTCAAGTTGAGTTTTAGATGGCACAATCTCATATATAAAATCTCATATATTTTAGATATCCTGCAAAATCAACAAATTATCTAAATAAAATGGAAAAAAAAAACTCACAATATATGGTTAATTTACAATTCAGTCCCTCTAATAGTAGCAAATAAACAGTTGTGCCTGACTGTCTCTGAAGACTGAATGTAAAAAACAAATCTTGTCTGTATATTATGTTTGTTTGAACTGCTTCCTACTGACCTCATTCTTGGAATCTACTCAAATCTAAATGAACAGCTGCAGAGAAGGACTTGCGCTCAATGGGCGTTCCCCCTAACGGGACGTTTGGCTACATTTGGTCTCTAACGATGGACGACGGGCCTTTGGAAGGAGACCCCCTGTGTCTGACCCAGCTTTATCAGAGCACCGTCTCCCTGGAGAGAGACTTGGCCTCTGGGCTGGTGGGCACCCTGCTCATCTGCAAGTCCAACGCCTTTGATACCAGAGGAAACCTGGTGAGAAGAGCCTTAACGTGTGTCAAGCTTCAAACATAGAGCTTAACATGCACAAAATTAATTAAGGCTGGGACTTTGAGGCATTCATTAATTAATTAATTACAGAAAAAAACATGTTAAAAAAAAATACACACATTTAATCACACCTTTCTCATTTGTCACAGGCAAAACATATGACTTGCTAAACATTTTCTTATCGATAGACACTACAATTAACTGATTTCCTTAAAGGACCCACATTGCAGGTAGCTGCTGCTTGGTGTGATCAGAAAGGTGTGTGACCGAAATTACATTGAAAATAGAGCATTCTAGTGTCAGATTTGTCCCACATGTGCTGTTTTCTATGAGCGGAAAAAACAGTAGTTTTAGGTGCACTCCGCTTCTCACAAGAACACCACATTTTTAAGTGGAAATACCGCAGTACACCAAAATTATAAATTAGAAAAGTAGAACCTCCCACCACTGTGGTTAACACAGTAGCTGCCTGTGCCAGTTACAGTGACACTAATGATAATAATAACACAGCTTCATGATCATCATGCACTGGCACCAAGAAGAAAAATGAACAGATGACAAATGCACAGATAAATATAGACGAAAAATAAACATTTTTGTTGTTTAAGTTCAAATATATGATTTTTCATTGATTCAGTTGTCAACCAAAATGTATTTGAATTGAAAAATTTTGCTTATTTAGTCAAATATTGCCATTTAATAGAAATGCGATTATTCGCATTTCATTAATTACAAAGCCTCTAGTCAATCAATTCTGCTTTGTTTCAATCTGTTGCTGCCTGCAGTTGGGACCAGATAAGAAGTTCAGCCTGATATTTGCTGTCTTTGATGAGAACAGAAGTTGGTACTTTGACGAAAACATGCAGGAGTCAAGCCAAAAGTCCTTCAACACCACAGACCCTGAATTCTATAACTCAAATGTCATTTACAGTGAGTTCACCGCTGAGTTACACTCGTACATTTACTTCTTCTCAGTGCTTGTTAATGGAATCATAACCAGTTTTAAACAGACCAAAAATATGGAAAGAATCTGTTGAAGTAAAACAAAAACAAGCTCTTTTTTTAATTTTCCCTCCTCCTGCAGGTGTAAATGGCATAATGTTCAGTCGGCGTCAGTTTGTGATGTGTCAGACTGATGTCCCCTTCTGGCATGTGGCCAACGTGGGCACCCAAAGTGATTTCCTATCTGTCTACTTCACTGGAAACCTGTTTCAGTACCAAGGCAGCTACCGGTCTGTCCTCACTCTCTTCCCCATGACCGCTGTAACTGTTCCCATGGAGACCGAGCTGATTGGTGAGGCACTTTAGAGGCACAAAAACACATTAGTTAGACATGCTGATCGATACAGACAAACTTGAGATAACGCTGGACTGATTTTATCACAGTGTGACTCTAGCATTTCCCAAAGTAGGAGCACCAACACAGTACAATGGAAGTAACAGTGTGGAGCAATGTATAAATGTGATAGGATTGTTGTTTTTTTGGAGCATTCAGCATCTTTTTAGGGCCTTACATGGTCATCTTGCCTACATGGATAGCAGGAGAATATTTCTATTGTGCATCTGTTAGCACCACAGTCACTGGAGTCATACTTACCATAACCTTTCCCTCCTTGTAGGTGAGTGGGAGATCAGTGCTTTTGATGGCGGCCTCAAGAGCCGGGGGATGAGCATCCATTACACCGTTCGTCCCTGCAACCATGACGGCCTCCCTTTAGTTGATCGTGACGAGGATGAAGAAGACATCTCCGACTATCTTGATGACATCGATTTTCAGCCAAGAGGCTTCAAACCTCAAAATCGCACCATGTTGGTTCGAGTGTGCAACAATACTCAGTCACTAAACACTTCTGGTCAAAATGACACTCAAACTGAAGGGACTGGGGAAGCATGCCAGCTGAGGAAAGTTACAGTACCGGCGGAAGGGGGAAAACCTGCCTCAGAGGGAGAAATCCCGCTGGATATCTTGGCTGAAATAGAGAAAGATGGGGAGTTGACAGTTCCTCAGAATCAGACAGAACCTGTGGAAAACAGAGGTGGCAGACTGAGAAGACAGACAGATGGAAACTGGACAGATGGAGATGTAAGTTCTGGAGCTTTTGAAGATGCAGGAACTACAATAGAGACTGTAGTAGAAGTCGTGGAAAACATTACTGGCAGTGAGGCTGAAGTGAAGACTGAGGAATTGAGTGAAATGCCAAGTGAAAAGAATACAACTACAGGAGAACGTGTAGAGAGCAACGAGATCTTACTGGGCAGTGAACCACTGCTGAGCGAGGTCTTAACTGTAGAATTAAGCAATTTAGAAGACATGGATCAAAACTTAGTACCACAAGACCACATTCATATTGAACCTGAGAAGCTTACAGACGATCTGGGGGTTCTGAGACCAAACTTCACTGCTGCCAACACCAACATAACAAGGATGGATCTGTCCTTGGATTATGATGACTACAGTCAGGAGGTACTATCATCTGACTTTTTAAGTACATATATTTCCAAATGCCACAAACCCAAACCCTCCCTTCTCACCACATTAAATGCAAAATTTTATTTCTAGGTGAACAGTACTTCAGAAATATTTGGCACCTCGCAGATTGACCCTCGCTCTGGAGATGCTCCACATGGCAACTTCTACTACATCGCAGCAGAGGAGATCACCTGGGACTATGGCATCAGAAAACCACATCAGCTCATTAAACCCAGGTAGAAATAATATTTGAAATTCAAAATAACCTTATTTGCTGTCTTGCCCTATTTCCACAAGAGTGGAACACCAATGTTTATTTCATCTGTATGAGGTGAAATTTGCTGAGCTCAGAGCAAAGACTAAAAGTAGGCTGACACCGCTGTCCTGACTCCACCCAGAGTTACAAAACAAGATAATGTTGCAAACAGTGTTGGAGTGGAAAAGGGCATAAAGAGCACCAAACAGAATGTTGTGTTGGAACAACCCAGTTAGAATTGTTCCAAAAAGGCTCTGAGAAAGTTTGGCAGAGTTCTTGTAATGTTTTCAGGGGGTCATTTTCTTTATGCTCCCAGAATGTTCTTCTTAATGACAGGATAAAGTTTTCTAAAAACACTAAAAAATTGTGTTAGAGCGTTCTTTTAACATTAGATTGAGTAGTTTTCTTTAAAATATTATTAGATCGTGTGGAAAATGTTAGCCAATATTGTGGGAATGTTCCCCACTTGCTGGGAAAGCTCAACCGCTTGTCCAAGAAAATGTAGGTGACGCCGGCAGCAGACTATACTACAACTGTAACTGATTAATTCATTCCTCCCATCAGAGAGATGCGTCGAGGGATGAGGAAGTTCCTGCCAGAGTATAAGAAGGTGGTGTATCGAGAATACGTAGATGAACGCTTCCTGAAACCTGTCAGCAGAGGAGAGCTTCAGGAACACCTGGGAATCATGGGACCCTCCATCAGAACTGAGACTGATGATCTGCTCACTGTGAGTGTTGCAGTACCTAAACAAAACAAAACAATAGTTTTCCTGTAGCCTCAGTAGCGACTACCCCTTCCACAAGCTTCAGTTGAACCTGAATGCTTCTAAAATATGGAAACTAATGTGAACATTGGTCATGTTACGATCTCACCTGTCTCTGATTTTGTATAACTCTCTTTATATTTTTGTTTGGTGACGTGCGTTCTCCCTCTCTGTCGTATTGCAGGTGATATTTAAGAACAAAGCACAGAGACCTTACTCCTTTCACCTTCATGGGGTCTATGACCGCAGCCAGGGGGCCGGCATTGCCCAAACCAGTTCCTCCTCTGCTCCACCAGGAGTACCGGGAGAGCCTGTGCCTCCTGGGGAAGCCCGCACGTATAATTGGAAAGTAACCCGCAAACAAGGACCCACTGACCCCAAATTTGACTGCAAGACCGGGGCTTACTACTCCACTGTGGACAAGGTCTGCATAGGTCTTCACTTGTAGCCTGTTTCAGCTTGTGTTTTCCTGCATATTCAGCATGTATATCCATATTTGTATAGTGGTGTTTCCTGCACATACCCTATATCCATTTTTTTTGTTTCCAAGAAATTTAAATGACAATCATAACGACCTTCCCTGTCTTGATTTGCAAAGTGATATTTTTAAATTTAAATGTAATTATATGACAATGAGAAAATGTGTATTTCATTACTGTTTTCTAGGAGAGGGACCTTCACTCCGGTCTGATCGGTCCACTGGTGATCTGTAAGTCTGGTACGCTCAAGAGTAACCAGACCACAAAGCCAAGCATTCAGGAGTTTTCTCTGCTCTTCCACACCTTTGACGAAACTAAAAGCTGGTACCTGGAGGAAAACCTGCAGCGATACTGTGCCCCGCCCTGCCAAGCCAACACCGAGGATCCCTGGTACCACACCAGCAATAAGTTTGCAGGTAGAGATTGAAGTGTCGATTGCTTTTGTCGGGTTTGTTGCTGCTTCTGATTTCATGCCATACTTTTTTCTCAGACACAATGTCAATGTTTTTCCCCAGCAATAAACGGTTATGTGGCGGAGACTCTTCCTGGTTTAATGGTTGCTCAGCACCAGCCTGTCAGGTGGCATCTTCTGAATGTGGGAAGTGACAGAGAGTACCACGCTGTGCACTTCCATGGTTTGCCTTTCACTGTTCACACTCAACAGGAACACCGTATGGGCATCTACAGCCTCTTTCCTGGTAAATATACGCACACATTTGTATATCTACACTTTTCTAAACCGTTCTCTTGCACTTTCTAAAATTCTGTCACTCTCTGTCATGTAATAATACATGGCCTGTAAACACATGCAAGCACACAATAAACATAACCAGATGCTGGCAGATGTGTCAGTGGTGGTATCATCCCCAGCAGACTCTGTTAGCTCATCTTTGTACAGCAGATGACTACAACCAACCATATGGTTACTGTTAGACAATGTGATTTCATTCAGATTATAATGACATCTAGTCAGTGGCTACATTTTGTTCCACAGAAATGACTGTACGTTTAAACAAATTGACGTGAACCACAAACTTTAATTTTTATGTCAACAGAGTTTTCTGACTCCTTGGTGGAGAAATTTCAATGTAATGAAAATGGAATGGAAAAGGAAATTATTTAAGTGGCGTCATGTGTCTGAGGTGGAGCTAAACAAATACTTTTTATGTGTTTCCCTGGTTATGCAACTAAATTCTTGTGTCATGTGTTGTCTCATGCATTGTATTTGTCAAGTCATGCATTTATTCCCCCCTCCTCAAGGTGTGTTTGGCACGGTGGAGATGAGACCCCCCACAGTTGGCACATGGCTCGTGGAGTGCACAATAGGAGACCACCAGCTGGCTGGCATGAGGGCTAAACTGATGGTCTATAATCCACGTAAGTGCATGTTTGCCATATCTATGATGATATTGCTTTTAATTTAAATGGATCTGTAAATATTTAGTCTGACTCACCAAGTGTAGCCTCTAAGTATATATCCGCCCTTTCCATCGCACATTTCATGTAGTGTTCTCGTCCCCTTCCACTATTTGTATGTTACCATTTCCAAAATCCCCCTTGCTACAGGAAACAACAACTTAAATGCTACAAATGGCAAATGTTTGGCTCATGCAGATAGATAGATGTATTATAAATTACAAATAAATTAAGCACACAGTTCAGCTAATCCCAGGATTGCTACGGTCAAATCACCAACAGAAAGCCCCAACATGGATGCTTATCTGCAATAAATCCCATAAATCTCCCTCCACCCATTTGAAGGTATACAGCATTTTTGAAAAAGTGACCTTTGACTTCCAGCGAAGCTATTTTTGCACCACACCAAAATCTAATTATTTGAAGGAGAGGCCATTCCTCGCTCACCTGTAAAATACCAACTTGTTGGACCTTAGCACCTGAGCTAGAGACTGTTCATACACGGACACACAGACTCTATATTATTATTACTCTACAGTTGCCCCTCAACTATGAAATAAGACCAAAAAGTTAGTCTCATCATAGCAGACTGAATAATTTCACACACCATTGCTGGGATAGCAGTGAGGGATGGTCTATACTCTTATAGCTTTTTGTTTGTACACTTTACATTTAGGGCCAATTTCTGACACCACAGTTTATTAAACGATACCTCTAAGAACAAATTACTAACTGAAATACTGACTCTTAGCCTCTGATAGATTAGCATACCAGCATAGCAACCAAACTGCTTAAAGCATGCTGAACAAAACTGATTTACATCCAAGTTGTTGCAGTAGTACTGAAGACTGCCACAACTAGAACGTGCTGAACACAACAAAAGACATTTATATATTAACATGATAGCTCTACACACTGTAAGCATTGTATGCTAGCATGTAAACATCTAACAGCTGTTAGCATGTGTGCTAACTGTGAGTGGGTTTTGATGCTAAAATTAACACTTTAATTAATCTCTTTGAGGTTGTTAAAGTGTGAAGTACAGCATCTGACATGTTCTAAGTGGTACAGAATTTAAAACCTTTTGACCTGTTACAACATACTTACTACGCTGACATCAGCTTAGCGTCACTTATCTCCCCCCATTAGTATTAAGGAACGAAGAATAGCAAAGTTGTTCAGTTGCTGTTTTTCACTTCTTTTTTTTCTTTCATATTGTGTAATCCTTGTCAAAACTTAAACATTCTGTGACACCCACAATAACATCACTTTTTTGTATGTTATCCTGGTGTATGATTGATGTCATGGGATTTTCCCACAATTTCTACACTGTGAAGAATTTTGTTGTTGTAAAATATCAGTGTCAAATGTGTCAAATATCTGAGGTTGCATAAGTTACAGAAACACCAAAATGGTCACTATAATATTAATTCCCTTGCATTATAGTAGGTATATCCTGCCCAGATGTAGTAAGGGATCTGAAATGTATTTCAGGATGTATTCTGACATGCAACACTGAGCTGTAATTTTGTGTTGTTGACATGCAGGGTGTACCATGCCACTGGGAATGAAATCAGGGAGGATCGAAGATTCCCAGATTACAGCATCAGATCACATAGGTAAGCCAGCAATGCTTTTCCTTTACTTAAATAAACACACTGAATGGCCTTGTAATACCTGTCAATATTAAAAGAGAAGAATGGCTTACCACAAACATCCAGTCCACTAAAAATGAAAATACCTCAGTTTTGTGGCCACCAGCAGCTTGATGAAATCTGAAAGCCTGAAAATGACCCACAGTAAGATGGATTATAACTGTGTTTTTGCATCTGTGTCCAGACAGCTGGGAGCCGAGGCTGGCGAGGCTGGATCAGTCCGGATATATCAATGCCTGGATGGGCAGAAACAGGAGGTCATGGTTACAGGTTAGATGTACAACGTTTTAGCTTTTATACTGAATCTGCTACAGTAAATAGTGTCCTAATGCTCTTGTGGATGCAAGATCTGAAAAAAATCCTGCAATATATATATCAGTATTCTGCATGTAATGTTAATGTGTATGTGTGTGTTGTTAGGTTGACCTTCAGAGGCCCACCCTGCTGCACGGTGTGTTAACACAGGGAGTACGGTCAAAGCTCAGGGACCACTACATCACATTCTTCACCGTCTCTTACAGCCTGGACCAGGAGTCTTGGACCACTTACAAAGGAAACAACACCAGTCAAACCAGCGTATGTCCACATGATGCATGTCTGATAAAGTTAGAGTTGCCATATGATACCAACTAAATGTTGATTCTTCTGGAAATTAGCTCTGCAGCATTGCAGAAGCTAAACCTAAAGCACAGACAGTTGTAGAACATACAACTCCCAGATCATTAGATAAAGAGAACATGTGAACACTTTCATCAAAAGTTCTAGATATAGGGCATGTAATGTGTATTAATGTTAAATTACTTATTGTGAAATATTTCACAGACAAAAAGCTTCATTAATGTGCTTTTTCCCCCCTTGTATTCTGAGGAAGAGCTTTTCACCAGAACTGACGACTCCTTACCAGTTAATTCAGTTGACTACAGCCTCTGCCAACAATGTTCTCATCAACACAAAAAGCTCTGCTCTGATTTAGAGAGTGCATGGATCTTATTTATTTGTACAGCTGTCTTACTAGAACGTGCCATTTTACAAGCCTGATCCTTTAAGTCTGAGCTAAACTGTTTGTGTGGCTCTGTGCAGCGCTTCCGTGGCAACATGGACAGCTCCAAGGTGATAGAAAACCGCTTCTTTCCGCCATTGGTGGCTCGCTACATCAGGATCCATCCGTACCAATACGTGCAGAGGCCTGCTCTAAGATTGGAGCTGCTCGGTTGTGACCTCAACAGTGAGTTATGCAAACAGTAACGCAGCTGATATCGGCGTAGTTTTATTGTGTTAAAGTGCTGTGAGTGACTCTGTGTATTTGTTTGTGTGTGATCAGGCTGCTCTTTCCCTCTCGGACTCCAGAAGAGGCAGATTCAGGACAGCAGCTTCAGCGCCTCTTCAACTTATTCATCTCTGCTGCGTAGCTGGAAGCCAAGTCTCGCCCGCCTCCATCAGGAAGGCCGCACCAACGCGTGGAGGCCAAAGGTGAACATGCACACAATCATTTACACATAGAGTATATTCTGCATGCAATTCAGATTTATTAGACAATCAATATCCGTATGGAAATATACATTTTCATTTGCGTCTGTCCTGCCATCGACCTATTTTGTGGCATAGCATGACTTATAACCAGTCAATAGTTTGACTAAAGATTCCAACACTGACCGCTAGTGACCGGTAACGTAGTGAGTGAAGTTATGCTGGTCACAATGCTGGAGCGTGGTGAAGAGAATCTGTTTTACGTCACTGGTCTTTGACTGTAGCACGTAGCATTTACTTGCAAAATGAGTAATAACATTTCTGTAATAGGCGTGCACGGAGTTGGACTCATGAAAATGATTGAGTAACAAAGGAAAAAAGAGTGCCAGAAAGAGAGCCACATCACAGGAATCCTGTCCTCTATATTTGGCCAATCCCAGGGTGAAGCATATGTGAAGGCCGATTTGTTGGTTTTCAAAAGTTACATCCAGTGTCGGAAAGGTGTGAGGTTTCCTACGATATCCAACATCAACAAATCCTGTTTATGTCTGTTAGTCCAACTTGACAAATGGGGAAATCTGCCATCAAATACAGATCTAAAACAACCACTTTAGTACATATGAGCTACATCAAACACTCAAATACTAAGGAAGCTGAAAACATACAGGGCAGCATTTCCACAGTACCTGGTAAACAAAGCTGGAGTGCAGTGAATGACTCAGAAAAAGAGAAAGCTGGTCTTGCTTTTGCTGATCCTTGTCATCTTTTTTGTCTTTTCTTCCAAAGTTATGCTATTTAATTTATCCCACAAGTTAAAGAGTAATCTGTTCCACATTGATTCGGTTGATCTTCAAGCTCAATGGTATGAGCAGTGAAATAAGACAGAGTAATGTTTGACAAAGCCATCGTTGTCATTATGTCTTAAACTTGTATTCTTAAAAATATACAATAACCTCCTTATTTCTTTTATATGTCTCAGCAACACTCATCGAGAGACTCCTTCACAGTGTGATAGGAACCTGTGATGTGCACAATAAGGCTTATTAACCTTTCGCTCTGCCCTCTGTCTTCTTTTATTATATTGGAATGTAGTTTCCCATTTCCTCCTCCTCAACTTATCATTTTCACACTTTGCAGCAGTGAACTGTAGAGGTGTGATTTGTTCCTCTGACAAACCGTTGAGCTGTTATTTAAGGTCACGCTCAGCACTTGTGAGCCGTGGAGCGAAGTCAACCGCTGTGGGCCAATTATTATCTAGAGCAATGTCCTGAAGGGACTTCAAAAGGTCAGCACCAATGACTCAAAGGTCCCATACGGGGAAAATCCATTTTGTGTTTTGTGGTTGTTGTAAACTTGGAGGTGTAAAATAAAAGCTGTAAAGATGTTTACTTTTTCATTCGTCAAGCCCCCAGTACAAGTAGTTAGCCTCCCAGCTTTACAAGCGAGTATCAATTTGACTCAGGTGTTCTATAATACCAGCAGTTATACAGTCACAGTGAAAGAAACCATCTTTGCAGTATTTTCACGCTAAAAGACATCCTGTAGGTGCTTTGATTGATTTGCTGGAAAGGGGCACAACATGGGAACTTTATTACAATTATATGTGTTTGTTTTTGTTTTTTTGCATCCTTAAAAAATGATCAGTGCTCAAGCTCTATCATTCAGTTTTGTCATTGTTAAAATCAATCAAAACAGGAGCATGTTTTGCAAACGTGTCACAGGATACAGAATATACTTTACTTTCCTCTACTCATATAAATGTGATGGATTTGAGTTTTTGACCAGAGTTACAAATTTGGAGCAGGAAAGTGGTGCTTCACATCACTGGGTTTAAGCTTTGGGTCATGTCTGTTTTGGTTGGACTTTTCCTGCTGCCAACCTTTCCTGTTTCCTTATCAGTTGAAACCTGAAGTTGTCCATGAACGAGGAGCAAAGGAACTAGAGTCCACTTGAACAGTTCATCAGTTTTTTTTTTTTTTTTACATGGATTGGAAAAAAATATGACCTGCCAGAAGCAGTTCCACATTTATAAGTTTCCTGGTTGACTTAAATGTTTGTGGGATAGGAAGTGGGTGGTGTTCTTTTTGGACACCACAATATCTGTTTGTGTTTTGTCGACTTCTAGATAGCTCAGAAGTTTCTATCTGTTTATTTCAGTTTCATAAAATGTCCATTTTCTTTCATTTTATGCCTTACATTGCTAACTTTTGAATTTCATGTCGTATTATTTACCATTCACATGTACTTCTGCACATAATGTAATATATTTCTGAAGTACTGGTGGGGGGAAAAAACTTCTTTTTATTATCAGGAAACAGTCTTAGTTGTTTGTTTGTTTGTTTTTTTTCTTTCCTCTGTCTGAATTTTTTCCGTACCGCTATCTAAAAATGCTTCCTCTTCCTTCCTCACCTCAGAACAACAACCCCCACGAGTGGCTGCAGGTTGACTTGGAGAAAGTCCGGCGCATCACAGGGGTCATCACCCAAGGAGCTCGATCGCTGCTGACCCAGATGATGGTGACCGAGTTCTCAGTCACTATCAGTCACGATGGACAGTCCTGGAGCAGCGTGTTAGAGGAGAACACCCAAAGAGAAAAGGTACATGGAGTGCAGAAATAACAAGTGTTTTGCAGTAAAAGCAGGAATATGTCCGGGCTCCCAGGGAGCCCAGATTCCTGCTTGAATACAGCTACATAAAACAGGCTATAAAACTGCAGCAACTACAATTCTTTGCTTGTTTCATTTATTCCCTCAATTAATCAGAAATGCAGAGAGTGTAACCTACCTCAGAGTTTCCCATAGTGTACACAGGTAGATGAGTCATTATGTATGATGAAGATGATTAAAGAATGCCATTAAAATGTTTTACAGACAGTTTCCCAGACGTGGTTTAAACCTGGTTCTGGACTAAAAGCAAAATTCAATGAAGCTCTCCACTGAATGAAAGTTTTTTTTGTCTAGGAGTAGACTTAATCCATGTCTGGGAAAGTGAACCTTTAGTTTTTTGTAAATTGAAAAAGCCTGATCAGTGGAATCAGCGGAAAGCCTGCATGTGGAGATTTAGTGCTAATGTCTTACATGTGCTCATCTGTTAAACTTTCCTCCTCTTTTTGCTGTTTCTTTCCTTCTTTACAGATCTTCACAGGAAACAACGACCCAGACGAGGAGGCTCTCACTGTTTTCGATCCTCCTCTGTTCGGCCGCTTCCTTCGGATCCACCCGCGGGGTTGGATCAACGACATCGCCCTGCGGCTGGAGGTGCTCGGCTGCGACACACAGCAGGGGATCTGACACCGACGGCACCAGCAGCGTGAAGCAGCCTTTTAGTAGCAGTTTGTTTAGGAGTCAGGAGAAATGAAAAATTGTAATGCAGAGCACTTGTTAAGTTATATATCAACTGTCTGAAGCTACTTTTTTTCTGCAACCACAAACTTTGTTTACAATTTCACCTCTTTTTTTCCCTCTTGTCAGTATAATATTTAATCGTTTTATTACTATTGTGAAAAAGAGACTGATTGTTTTTGTTTTTGTAAAGGAAATAAGTATGTTTGAGGTCATTAAGATGGATAAAATGTGTTATTGTTAAGGACATTTAGTTTAAAAAGCCAGTTTAAGTTGAGCTACACATTATTTATGTATTTGTACACAGCTATGCTAACTACAAAGCAAACTTTATGAATGTAAGCCTGTGTAAATATTTCAGACGCAGATGGATGTATACAGTTTGACTGGTTGTTATATATCATTTGAAGAGTATGTATTTTTGTGCTTTATTTGAGTTCTTATAAACAATTATACTAATAGAGTTTCAGTGGCATTTATTTCATTACTCTGCAAACTTTTGTGCACACAAATACGTTGATAAAGACACGTAGCTGCCTTCCAGCTGAAAGTAAAAGTTCATTTTTTATTTCCAAAGATGTAACACTTTCCTTTTCTCCCCTCTCTCCAGTCCATTATCCCTGTTTTTTCTAAATGTTCCCAACATGTTATTTTGTCTTATCCACCTCCACCAGGCCCTCTTGGCAGAAACAATGAACAGCTCAGCTCCAGCATTGTTCCGGTAAAGTATGCACCCGTGTTAAACAGAGGAAAAACAAGTTTGAGGATAAAACGATTAAGCTGTACGACTAGGGGGGAAATGGTAAGATCAACAAGGTGTCTGCATGCCTGTGTCAAAGTTGTATCTCTTGATTTTGGAGGGTGCGTGTCCGTTGGTCCAACCATCCCTTTATCAACTCGGTATCAGTCAGGAAGTTTCCAGGCTGGGGAGGGGGTCTTGTGTTTCATTTGGAGGACAGAGTAATACTGGACAGGACATGCGTTGGCAGAGATGTGGCAGCAACACGTCAAACTTTATCTCTCTGAAAACAATAACAGGCCATCCGTAATCTGAAAAACAGGCCGAGCACCTGTGTACATCTCCAGGAGGGTAACAGCTGATAACGCACAATCTAAACAAAGCAGAAGCTGTGGCCTGCCGCCCAGGTACGATGGCCTATCAGCTGCTCAGATTGTGTTCGCAGCGTGTGAAAGAAGCAACAACAACAAACACAGGCCGCTCACATACAGGGGAGAGCGAACACAGGTGGGTGATACGGAGGGTTTTACATAACAACTCTAGATTTTGGAAAAACAGCACATTTTTACCTACATAGAGTCGTCCTCAAATGTATTCATACCCTTCCATTAAAGAAAAGGCAAAATCCACAATAGTCACTCAAATAACTAGAAACTGAAAAAAGTAACAATAAATAAAAATGTGCTAAATTATAATTTAGTGAAATAAGACACTGCTTTTGAAATATGGTTGAAAAGAATAATTTAAAAAAAAAAAAAAAAAACTGTCCTGGACAAATTAGAGCACTTTGCTGATGAGCAGTGGGCCAAAATCAAAATACCTGTCAACAGGTGCAGAAGTCTGATTGAGAGTTACAGAAAACACTTGATTGCAGTGATTGGCTCAAAGGGTTGTTCAACAACATATTCGTTGACGGGTCCCATCATGCTTGTTTGCTTGCTTGTTTGTTTGTTTGTAATATTTCTGTTGAACCATAATTCAAAAGCAAAGTCATGATTTTAACCCTAACTGTAAGTGTTTTATCTGTTCACTTTATATTTCACCTTCAAGGCCGTCTTGCAGTGTCTTACGATACACACTAAATCCAAAACCCAGAACTACATTATTTTCATTATAGAGTATGTGATAGATTATTTTATTTTATTCATTTTTATTGACCATTTCCAGTATATGTTATGTCAGAAAACAGTGGAGAGTTTGTATCTTCACACTGCTTGTTGCGTCTAGCAACTTTTTTATTTTTTTAAAAGTGTTGTAACACTCATATAAAGCAAAAAAGCAGAACGGTGTCACATTTTAAAAAGCTAGAATCAGTCGTTTGTGCTTGTGAAGTGATGAACTGATCACTAAAGATGTTGCCAATACACTTTTTGTCAATGAGCAACTTTAAGTAAATATGTTAAAGTACAGAATGTAGTTTCTGCTTTTTAGGGTCCCTTAATAAAAGAAAAAGAACCAAATGGCACAGTTTGATGACGTCATGTGATTGGGGAGTTGTTGCTGCTGTTTATTGTGTTTATAGAAAGTAAAGAGATATGAAATGCATCGTTACACTGGAAAAAAAATACAGATTTGTCCACGTTTGAATACTGTTTTCATGTGGGATAACATAAAGACGCAAGTCAGCGAAGTATATAGCATTAGTTTGGTCTTTTATCGACATTTTGATGTAGAGATGTTACATATTATTCCTTTAAACTGCTAATTATTTTAACACTAACGGCACACACTTGTCCGGAAACTCAAACTTCCACAACAGGTTTGCTCTCCATCAGCAACCTGTTTGAAAAGTAGCAGAAAATTCATATAATCCTTTCCTCAGAATCCACTGTGAAGTATTTACCTGTCTGAAATAAGTTTCAGGCTTTTGTAAGTTCATTTGAGATTGTACTGAAAGTATCAAAAAGCAGTTGTTGCCTAGAAGGAAGGAAGTAAAACCCGTCTGTGAAAAAGGGAGTCAAGTAAGTGTCAAGTGGTTATATGGGCAAAAACAGGCAACCGACCACTTTAGCTTCCTCTTTTTCTGCGTCTTTTAGCTTGCATCAGGCCAGAAGCCCACACTGGCCACCACAAAGTGACAGAAATACAGTTCAGGTCCTGGGAAAACTTCTAAAAGACATGTGGCCGTCATCGCTACCAGTCATCCACTGTGAGAAATCATCAAAAACTGCTGATTTTCTCAGAAGACTGGTCATATTACGAGCGCGGTACTAATTCAGTCACTAATTTACTAATCAAGTCAACTGCCAAAACAAAAATTACATCATGATGAATCACATCTGAAATTTCCAGATCTGACCAATCTGTGATCGGGACTTTCAGATTGTCTGTTAAGGTGGAACCCCATGAGCGATTGCCACACTTTACTTAACAGTACTTTTAAAGGAATCTGTGCCTCTGTGAGTTGATTTTTATAAAGCGGCAGGAAGGCAAATGGTGTGACACAACTGAAAAAATGGCCATGATTTTATCACCCGGCCTTACATCACATCCTGCCTTCATCCCGAGGCCCCACAGGCAGATAAGAAGAAAAAGAAAACAGAAGTGAACCCTATGTACCCTTTTCTTCTTCCTCCTCTTTTTCTTCTTCTTGGTGTCATTTACAACACACCTTAAGGTAGCAACATGTGTGACCACATGTTTTGTTCCGTGTTAAACAGCACTGGAACTATAATGTGCTGTACATCGGTGGAAACATTTTCACTCAAAAAGAAAAAAAAAAGTTCTGCATCACAGTAAAATGATGCATTTAATACTTTTTATACTAACAGGTTCTGTGAGTTAAAGTGTTAAACACCAGCAATAATTTCTGTCACTGACATGAAACACAAAGTTAATTTTTTAAGGGAAACTGTGCAATTTGCCAAGAACATGAATCAACCTGTCTTGGAAAAGTACAGTTTTAAGTTTCTTGTTAATATTTAAGAATTGCAGTGAGAAATCGATTGTTCAGCAGTTCACATGCAGTATCCTCAGTTTCCACTGTGACGACAGCAGCTACACTGAAAATGTTTCTGACACAATCAGACCAAACCCTCACGCTCGTCATCAAACTTTACCAGGAATCTGAAAGTTGAAGCCAGACTGTGAAGAATTAATGGATCCCAGATGTATTTGATAAAAATCTCTTTAGATCCTGACAGGAATCAAATAATCAAATACTCTGAAAATAAAAAGATAAAAAATGTTTTCTGTGACAGGACCGCCTGCCTTTTCTAGCTGCACACCTGAATACCTGCACTCATTCTGTGCACACAAGTCTATTAGTCGACACATTACTGGAGGTAGCAATGTGTTGAAACAGTAATGCCAGATAAGGTGCTGCCAGATTTTACAGCTCCACCCAAACCTGCAACATTTTGTACTGATAAACATGCCAGATGACTGAGTCCATTTGTAGTTGTTCATATCTGTGTATATGTCCATCGCATGTCTGTATTGTAGTTGTGAGCAAGTGTTGTTTAATGGTATTTGTCTTATTGTAGAGTATATTGGCTTTGAACAACACAATCTCTTGTGGATTTAGCCCACCGACCATTCTCAGGCAGCACATGTTGGAGGATTGGCTTTGGAGGGAGAGTGTATTTTCCAGTTGTATGCTTTCAAAATCTGGCTTACTCTTGCTATTTCTACAGTCCTGCATATTCCAGATTTGATGAGCTCACAAGTAATTAACAGGCATAAAATTGCATAATGAAAAAAAGAATTATTAAGCATAATAAATCTGCGTTTTTTAGTAATTCAGTATGAGTCTAAAATGCTAAAGAAAATATACTGTCCTTTTGTGTTATATCATTTTGGGATGCATGCATGGAATGTAACAGATGGTGGGTGGGTTCAGGATTTTCATCAGCAGCACTCCAGATGTGCTGGACTTTCTTTGATCCCTGGGAAACCGTTGCATAACGTGTCTTTACAGTACAATAAAGTAGGTAAAATCATGCGCCAGATCTTTTCTTTTTTTCTTTTTTATCTTCAGCTACTACTAGACTCAGCATATACTGTAACTGTAGTGTAAATGTAAATATGCCTATTCAATATTAATAAAACTGATGTAAAATAAGTCATTGCTATATACTGACTCTGCAGCTGTATTACGGAAATCAGAAAGACTTCTGTTGCAGCTCAGCTGAATTATAACTAATGTGGGAAACCTTGTCTATCAGATGTCACCAGTGGCAGCTGGTGAAAAGTTTCGGTGGGGGACACAGTCTGCAAATGACCTTTGATTTTAAATCAGAAATTAGAATATGAGTAACATCAGGCACAACTATTTATAGGAATGCAAACTGTCTACCTATGAAGGATATTCTAATCCTAATCTAATTTCACATTATTAAGACTTACCAGAACTAAACTTCAAAACCATTCATCAAACTTTCATCAATATTTACAGAATCTGTACAAACTCAAAACACACAACATAAATACTGAAAAAACACTATTCAGGGCTCCAGATGAACTCTTTCACCGGAAGCACCAGTACGACCCACTTTCTCATTTTGTTGCACCTCCCACCTGGTCAACGGCAAAACGTACGACTTGCTGAACATTTTCTTATCGATAGACACTACGATTTACTGATGCTCCCTAAACGCCCCACATAGCAGGCTGCGGTATGCGACCAAAAATCTCTTTAAAAATAATAAACTAGGGTGTTCTCATGTCAGATTTGTCCGAGATGAGACCGAGTTACATGTATTCTACACGCGGTCTTTTCTATGAGCGGGAAAACGCTCAGTTTTTCACGAGAGGACCTCAGTTTAAAGCGTAACTACTGCGGTACACCGAAGTTATAAAAGTCCTACTTTTCACCACTGTGGTCCACACAGCAGCTTCCTGTGCCGGTTACAGCGACACTAATACAGCTTCATAATCACCATGCTCATCAATTCACACACTCTCAAAATAAAGGTCGCAAATGCAGTCTGGTGTCCTGCTATTTGAACAAAAAACTGGCTGTTCTCTCTTTCTGCTCAGCAAACTTCTTTATGACTTTTTTATTGAAGTCACTCTTCTGTCTGACCAGTCTTGTCTCCATTGACAGCATGGCCAATGCATTAAAGACAGTAGCTGTCATCCAGTGGAAGAGCGACGGGACAGGCCGCGTGACGGCGTCAGAAAGCCCAGTGGTGAGAACTCAAGACAAAATGAATTGGCCTACAGCCAAAGTGAGCGGGTCCGGGACGCACCGAGCTGTGTCCCGTGAGAAACACTGCAGCTGAGGTCACGTGATTACGAAAAGTTTTTCGAGCTGCATACACACTCATGTGGCTGCGCCCCGCATCCCGGAAGTGTAAAATTAGTAAACACGCAGTAACGACTAACTTTAAATCTGTTAATAATACAAATAAAGTTAACGTGGCAAAAGAATATGAACGTCATTATTGATTTTATTATTATTTTGTTATAATTAATTCAAATTTAATATTGTGTTTGAGAACTACTTTATATCTGGTCATTAGTCGTAGGGCGGCGCCCTGCGCCCTGTATTGACCAGCCACCACTGGATCATGTCACATTCTTTGCAACAGTTCAGTCCTTACCATATGTGTCGATTTTAGAAATGAGGATGGGGACACCTGCTGGACAATCTAATGTGTTACATTGGTCACTGAGCTCAAACAAAGGTTTGCTGCAGTTGCTTTGACTGTATGGAAACATTCTAAAGTGCAAGAAATATTCTAATAATTTACCAAAATCTTCGCCAATCAAAAAATATGTGCTTGAAGCTCGCCCAAATTTAAAATTTGAAAGATCCTGGTCCAACAGGCAACTTACACCAGCGTGGACCTGCAGCCACAAACACAACGAAACATCCAGGAGTTAAAGTTCTGAAATTAAAAATATGTACATATGCAGACATTCAGGATTTTTTAATGACGGAAGAGGCATGTCATGTTATGCATTTCAAAACAAGTCATTGCATACTCTGTACAATATACAACAGTGCTTATGTATATTTCTTGCTTATTTATTCCACTTTGCTGCGATAACACTGCAAATTCCCCCACTGTGGGTTTGTTATAGGCTTATCTTACCTTTTTATGAAAACTCCACATCAGACATACATCCAGTAGTATTACCACACTGTAAAAAAAAAAAAAAAAAAAGCTCTGCTGCAAATAAAAGTGCTTCATTTACAATTCTACTTCATTAACAGTACAGAAACATGATCAGCCAATGTCATTCAATAGACATGAACTGTACTTGAAGCCCCTGTGAATAATACAATAAACCTGATTCTAAAACTCCTTACCTCTTGGTGAGTCTTGGATGAAACACGAAAGCACACCGACATCTGAAACATGACAAGAAAACAAAAGTGCATGTTGATTTTTTAATAATAGGTGACAGGCCAAAAGCTTTGGAACCACTGGTTTAATCTTGAACACTGTATTGTATTTTTTTAAAACTGTTTTTCATGTTAATTTTTTATCAGAATAATAACTGTCAGAAAAAAGTACTAAAGAAAAGAGTACATTTGCCGCTTTCTTATAGTTCACTAAAAAGTAAATGAAATTAGTAATATTTCACATAATTGTACCAGAACGTTACAAGAGCAGTCTCAGGATTTTAAAGCAGAATTGAGGCTGAGTAGATGACACTACTTAATGCCATATTTGCCGCAGATAAATAATTCTTTGCCGTGCTCCAGGCTCAGAGCCAGGCTCAACAAGTGATGTATTCTTTGCCTTGTGATATGAACACACAACAGTTCCCTGTATGTACATAAAGAGCTCTGCTTCCTGAAAAAGATCCAGTGAGGCGTGATCTTTAAGATTCAGCATAATTGGGTGCCTGGATGTGAAACGCTGAGGTTAAATAGGGGAACGAGGAGTCGAGGCAGGACGTGACGCCTCACTGCTCTCAGCCATGTTGCTGTGGTGATAATGAGCACTTTGCACATTTGAAGACAGATTCAGCGTGTCCCTGAAAAGCTGCAGTATTACATTTCTCTTTGAATCTCCACACCTTTATGCATTCAAAGGGGTCTGAGGTTAATCTCCAACATGACTGCTTGTCTAAAACACCTGCAGTGTTTGATGTGGAACGGTTGAGGAGTGAAAACACACAGCTCACAAAAGAGTGACTGGCAATGACAGCATGAGTTCTCATATTACATTTTATTGTTGGTTTAATAGAAAAAAAAAACATGTGCCTCTTTTGATACAGATTCAAAATTACGACCAAAACACAAAAAAATTACATTAATCTTTCTAGCAGCATGACTGAATTTCAGATCTTGTGATGTCACTGGCCTTGTTAGATCACTGAATAAAACAGAAATGAGTTTTTCATATAAAAAGGTAGAGCTCGTGTGTGACAGAAGGACAAAAGCTGGCAGCTTTAAGAAGTAAAGCGAGGCAGTTGAGGTTTAACTGCAGCAGCCTTACTGGAGGTTACACAGAGAATGCTTAGCACAACATTTCAACATGTAAGGCTGTGGGAAGGCCTGCGCTGAGCGTTGCCGCATAAAGAAATACGAATGAGAATATATGACCAGCAAAGCATGAAACAACAGAATATTTATAACTGTGAAAACAGGGCGCTTACAGTCGAGACAATGAGAGATATGTGTGAAGACAGGCCTTATAGAAAATGCGGCGCATAAAAAGGTGGGTACATTATCATGGTGTGAGCAAAAAGCAATGAAAACATTGAAACTGAAACGCTGAAAAACCATTGCTGCTGGAAATGATCCTTGGTTGTCTATGAGGTGCGGACTTTTTGCAAGTTGTGGCTCAGCTTCCTAATACACAGACCTTCAGCTATCCTGTTTCACATATTGTTAGTGTGGTTTCAGACTCAGGAAAAGCACGTAAGCTAAACAGAGATGAGCAGTGGCTGAGGTCAGAGGAGCAGAGAAATGGCACATTACACAGTAAAACAACAAGTCTTGGTGCTGCAACAGTTTGGACTGACTTGAAGTCAGGTGGGGGTTTTTTTCAACTGAAGTTAATAAGACAAGACTGAGAGGGCAGCTTTGTTTTTCTGAAAATTGAGATATCAGCTGTAAAAAAAAAAAAATGTTGAATAAAACACAACAAACTGACATTAAATGTAAATATGTTCAGTTTATCTGATCTGTTTTTCAAGGAATGTAACAACCAAGAAAACAAACAGTCTTGTGTGACTCCTATGTGCCTCTCTGAAGCTATGACCTGCACACTGTAAGCCACAGGCAAGCAGCAGATAACAAAGAACAGCAAATGCAGCGTGAGAAATGTGACATTTTTGCCATTTTGACCGTCAGGGAAACATCTAGAGGTCCAGCAACAGCTTTCTAAATATATAAAAATGTCTTAAAAAACAAGGGAAAAAAGTACTAGTGTTAGTTGTACATACATCCTTTGAGTAAAATACAAGGGGCTCTACTGTAGGTTTAGCTGTTTCTGAACCACTGAAGGCTACAGCTCTGACTGCTACCGGAGAAAATGCAAACTTGGTGTCCAAGTAAACATTCGTCATTAAGAGTCTGACATGTTCAGACCTCAGAGAGTGAAGCGCTCACAGGAAAGGGGCCATGAGCATTGTGATGCTGCATAGATGAAAAGACTTTGGCAAGCCAAACACTGGTAGAGCCGACACCATGCAACCATCCAGATGTACTGAATCATTCTTCATTCATTCAGCTCCTTCACTTTTACATTACAAACCAACTCAACAGTCCTCTTTCCAGTAGTATCATGAAAAACACCAACAAATAAAAAAAACTAGAATAGTTTATGGTTGATTAAAAACCATTACAAATTATATTGATACATGTCAGTTTTCTCTACTTGAATCTACATATAGGTTAATAAAACAAAAGCAAAAAAAAACAACAAAGGAGCACTCAGCTGGTTCTGACCAGAAACTGAGTGATGCTGTTAAGATATAGTTTATATTGAAACTACAAAAAGAAAAACAATGAATACAAAGCTACACTGAGATCTGAAAAATGTACTATACAGGCTTTGCCTTTTTTTTTGTCTCAAATCTATAAACAAATTCCGTTCTGGTACACAGCTAGGCTACCGGCCACGAGTAAATGTAAGGCAGATTTGTTTTCAGATTGAGGTTACTGCTGTGACTCAAATGTCTTGCTTTTAGTCCTTGTCTCTCCTAAGAAAACAGCAACAATAGTAACAAGGTGCCAACATAGTCAACATGAAATATATATATACATATATATATATATATATATGTTCACAGTCAATAAAACACAAAAAACAAAACAATCCTATTAAATTCTGTTGAGACGGATACAATTTTGTGCATACACAAGCAGCCTTTCACAGTTGGTTTTGAACCAAAAGGCTGAGGTCCTGCCAAAGGAAACACCCTCTGGAATAGTTTTCACTCATTCATTCATTCTTTTGGGACTTCAGCGACATAGGCCCCTAGTTTGACAGCAATAAACTAGTGCAACTCAGTAACATCTGTGTTTTCAGTGCAGCAGTAACAGAAATTTAAGTTAGTGCTGTACAGGAGCATATGAAATGCTACCTATTTATTTCTGTAAAAATGTTGTCTTTACAATGAGGGAATGCAGTTCACATAGTTAAAAATCACCTATTAAGGCTACGGGTTACTAATTCAGCACGCAGGTTTTTAGAAAGAATCTCCTGCAGGCTTTTTATAACACAAAGTTATAAAACCTGTAACAAATTTTACAGTTGGACAAAAAGACATGGATTCAGTTAAATAAAGGACCTTGCTAGCTTATATAGCTGGTATAAGGACTACTCGTGCACCCCATACTTTTTTTTACCTCTACCTTTTTTTTTTTTTTATCTTGGTAGCAGGAGCTACAAATAGTGTCAACAGCTGTTTGCACTGCTAATTAAACGTAACACTACCTTAGTCAAACTAGAGACCTATGCGTTTGCTTTCCAACATGCATATATTATTGTACGGATCTGCTCCACTGCTTGTAGTCTTGCGTCTCCTCTAACTTTAGTAAAGGATATTAGACATTTAAATCACTGCATTTCTTTGAACACAGATGGGGAAAATAGACTGTTCACAAAGAGACTCTGTAGAATTTACAATAAGTAACTGTGGAGGAAGAGGTAACAGAGAGCAGGAATGATGAGGATGGAAAACGACTGAGCAAAAGGATACAAAGGCAAAACAAGGAGGAAGAAAAAACTGATTGCGCACCAACTGTTTGGGTAAATGGAAGTTTGACATTTCCACAGTTCTGTGGTACCTAAACAGACACTAATGAGGTTGGAGGAAGCAAGGCTGATTGACAGATTGGCATTTGGCAGCTTTGTGGCTCTGAGATTGCAACAAAAACAAACACTGCACAGAACAGGAAAAAACTGAAAAGTAATGAAGAATGTCAACGTGTTCAACTGGATTGCTGAGGATTGTTTGATTACTGAGGTATAGGTGTATGTTTCCAATTCAGAACTGTTTGTCCTATCGCAATACCCCCAAAAAGCTACACTAAGCTGTGAGGTTTGTGTAGCTTTTAGGCTCTGAAGTGTTGTAGCACAGACACAGACTGAATAATGGCAGTGAAAGTAAAGAGGGGAACTGACAGGAAGGAATACCAGAGCATGTCCTTTTGCCAGTTTCCCTCTTCACTGTTCAGTTATGCATATAACCACATAGTATAACTCATACAGTTGATTATTGCAGCTACTTCACATATGTTCATTAAAGTTCATTGTTCAGGAGAACCTGTAATCTAAGAGTGCAGAGGTAAGTGGTCCGAACGTTTATGAAACATAACAGTAACTGCAAATTGTCCCCCCGAGGGAACATCTTGACGAGGGTGTGATGTTTTTATTTCATTACTGCCCAAACAGTGAATGGTGCCCTCGTGATGAGACTAAACTACAGCAGCAAATTGAGTGGAATATCTGTGAGATAAGCCTGAAAAGGGCTTGGGCCGGTTGGCGGTTTTAATCTCAGTAGTTCCCTCTCGTCGACAGATCCAAACGTAGTAGTTTCATATGACATAACTGACGTTAGTATCAAAATGCAGATGCCCGGGTGCTGCACATACACTCTCTTGCACACACATACAGGAAAGTTTAACATTAAACAATACAGAAATGCCTTTTGTGAAGTTGACGAAAATCTATGCTGTCAACAGTCATCAAGCTCCTGTAACAACTGCATGATTCCCACTTAGACAACTACACACAGTGCAAAACTATTGTCAAAGCTGTAACGAACACAGTTTATGCGGATTTGTCTAGCACCCTGCTCAAACGTTAAAAGGCCAATAAAAACTGTAGAGACCACTGATTGAAAAATAAAACATTAAGGCTCTACAGAGTCATGAGAAGACCTTGTATCAACTGTAGTGTTTAGTTTCATTAACTCAGGCAGCAGATGCTCACCTTTTCTTCTTAACTTTGACTGCATAAATTCACCTGCCACATGCTTCAAAGTCACTGACCTAAATTGAAAACGGTTAAAAGATCTAGCACGCTAGAGTTAATTGCATATGAATTGGTGGAATCAACAGCTGCCACAATCACACATCTGTCTTTCATGCAGGCAGACCAGCAGTGAAAACTCCTTTTGCTAAAGTTTTAGACCCTGGTTGTGAGTACAGTGAGCAGCCACGGTGTAAAACTTGTGTGCAGTTGAGTTGAGGTGATTGTGTCTGGTGGCTCATCTGTCAAAAGAATTGTATGTTGCCTCCTGTGACATTTACAGCAGATACACGTGTGTCTCTTGTAGCTGTCACAGCAGAAAACACAGGCAGTAGAAAAGACATGAATACAGCAAACCTGCAAATCAATCAAGATGAGACTGTGTTTCAGCTACATGAGCTAAATAAAATGCATTGTGTTAAAAAAATAGATGTGTGAGGTACTACATAAAGAAATTGTGAAATTCTCCCTTCACGACTTCTTATTTTATATGCCTCTTCATCGTAACATGTTTATATAGAATCTAATAAGCTTCAGAAGCTGTGAAATCAGAAACTACCACTTTTTCAGTTAACACCGTCTTCATTCCTTTCCTCTTGGAGGTACGTGTTACTACAGAGTCACAACCATTCTAGTTGAGACTCTGTTGTGCTTATCCTCCTCCATCGCTCAGTGCTGATGTGCCTTCTTTTCGTCCTCTCTGTTGCTTGTAGCCAGAGCGCCCTTTTCGACTTCACATGAAAAAAAGCAAACAGCCAACAGGGGTCCAGGAAGGTAAGAGGTTAAAGGTCAGCCAACAGAAAGCCCAGAGTTGTGACTTCTGTTTGGGAGGAGGGAAATCTAAGCATGAGAAAAGGTGCTGGTGGGCTGAATCCCTGAAAGACACAGCAAGAGAGAGCACATGAGGAAGAACATGTGTTATCACATACTTCCTGGCTTACGTGTGTGAGTTATGCTTGATGTGTGTGAGTGGAAGGAACCTTTGTAAGATGAGACTCAGATGTGTGTCTCTACGTCGGTATAGCCGGGCAGGATGTCTCCATTGGAGCAGCTCTTAGGCTCCTCCGCCGGTGGGGCAGTGGGCAACATGTGGGCAGTGGTGGACGTCTCCTCCGGTGATGCCTGGCCTCGCTGGAGCTTGCGGTGGATCAGGGGCACAAAGAACAGCACCACACCCCCCACCATAGGAGGCACCCCAGCCAGGGAGAAAGCCACCGTGTAGTTCCCAAAGTAGCCGTGTAGAAGACCTGGGTAGTGGAGGTAGGAAGGCATTATTAATGGTATCCTGTTTTTCATCAGGAATCCCATTGAATCACATTATTTATATCAAGGAGTGATGCTGTCTGTCACTGATGGGATCAAGAGGAAAAAGATTCTGACTTGTGAAAAGAGCAAAATGACTAAAATAGTGAGACACTTTAAACACTTTGGGAAATACAGCTACTTATGTTTTTCCCTTGAGAGCTGAATGAAAAATGTCTGAGTTAAAAGCACAATGTAGAATCTGTAGCAGGAAAAGAAAGTGGGTACCCATTTTGTTTCTGAAGTGTAGACAGACGAGGGTGCATGTGTACGTGTGCGAGCATGCATGCATCGTCATTTACAAAGTACCACTGATTTAAAGCTCTTCCACTGACTTACAATGTTGGTAACATATTAACAGACACATGTAATGCCCCATCAAAGGAAGAAGAAGAGTGTTAGAAAGCATGTGTTGATGTAAACAATGCAGGATCAGACTATTTCAAAGTTGAGATTTCCAAATGTTTTATGAGGAATAAAATGCATTCTGCGCACTTGTTGGGCCCCAAGGATCATGGGTAAAAGCACAAACAGCACAGGCATTTATAAATACATGGTCCATGATATAGTGAGCTTGAGTTCAGGATACAGACTGGAAGCAGGAGGAAATAGCTAGCCTACCGACAAAGGTCTCAAGTTCGCACATTGTATTACATGTATTTAAGCTTTGCACAAGCTATAATGTAAATTTTCAGTCTTAGAGGGAGTTACAAGTTTACCTGTCTGCACAGCACTTTTGCACAGCATGCCATGCTATAACATGGTGTGCCAGCTCGACTGTGCCCCACAGGTAACTCCACTCAGAAACAGTTCACATGTACATACAGACATGTGACAAATTATTTTTTAAAAAAAGGAAAAAAATTACATAAAGTGTCTTAATAAGATGTTTGGCCACCACATGAGGCCAAAACAGTTTCAGTGCTCATTTGTACTGATTCTCCTGGAGCTCTACTGGATGGATGAAACAGCATCCTACCAAAGAATTTCCTTGTTTGTCGCTTTGATAATAGTGGTTGAGACAGCTTTCTAACAAGTCAGTTCAAAATCTCCCACAGGTGGTCAAGAGGATTGGGATCTGATGACTGTGAAGGCCATAGCATATGATTCCCATCATTTTCATCCTAATCAAACCATTTAGCAACCCCCTCGTGCCCTATGGATGGGATCGTGGCAGAGACCACTCCCACCAGGACAAAAATGTTTCATGTTCAGTCACACAATAAAGGCGGTCACTTAGAACAACTGTGTACTGATTTGCAGTTACTGTTTTTTGTAGGACTAGTAGACTTAAATCACCCCAGGAGGAAAATGCTCACCACAGCATAACAGAACTACTGGATGCCTGTACTGAAGGGGTCAAGGGTCCAGTTTTTTCCTTTAATTTGTCACCCATCTGTATAATATATTAATCAGAGACGTTGCTTTTGTGCTTTCAAAAGGCCCAGAAAAGCTGTTTGCTTGTAGGCTTTAATGCTAAGCTAACCATTTCTTGGCTCCAGCTCTGTAGATATATTTTCTTTTTTTTTCTTTTTTTCCAAAAGTCTCATTGGGAATGAATTACATGAGCGTCCTGCCCAAAACAGGCAGCAGCACAACAGATTACAGGCCCACAGGCATATAACAGTTTAAATAACGTTTATATAGGGTTTAGAAGAGCATTACAGCATCATAAAATCACTAAACATATGTCACAAGCCAGACATCAGTAATCATACAGGGCCAATGTGAGTCAGTCATAACATTTACATCTGAACGCACACAAAAGCGTGAGAGTGATGTCAGATAAACTTTCACAGAGAAAGCAATGGAGCTCTACAATAGCAACATAACAGCAGCAGAAACCCTCGTTAACGCTGGCCTCATCTGGTTCTGTGTCTTACTTCTTTGCAGTAATGCAGAAGTGTACTTCAGTGTGTGTCAGTGCACTGAAGCATGATTAGCACTGAATACAGTAAGATTTGGCCAGCCATTACTTTGGTCAATTACTGCACTACAGCCTGTTAAAAAATGGCTTTTCAAAAAAAATTTCTACAGTTTCATTTAGCAGATACTTTTATCCAAAGCAACATACATCTGAGAGTAGATACAACACAAGCAATTTTGATACTAATGAATTTTTAAAACAAGTAACTGAATTTATTCAGGTCATCTCCAGCAGCACCTGGCCCCATGCACTATAAACTGGAAGTAAACAAAGAGATCGTCCTGTTGTGATACAGTATAGCACTTAAACGTCACCCTGTTTACAGTGGGCATGACCATGTGCTATATTTATCAACATGAGTTAAAGCTATACCTTCCAGTACAGTGACGACGCTAGGTCAACAAGTTTAACAAGCTGAGCTTGTGACATGAGGTGGGGGGGGGGGAGAGGGTGCACTTACAACGTTGCCTGTTACGTATGCGTTCTTGCTCAGGAACTGAACAGGCTGTACAGAACAACATGTGTTGATACAGTGATAACCTCATTCAAACTTTGAAGAGCTTGGCTCCCTTTGTGTGGGATGTAGAATAAATGTATGTTTTTCGATAAAGAAAAAAGTTTAATAATTCAAAAGAATATTTAATGCAAATGTAGTGCGTGATTTGCATACTGCACATCGCAACAGTTCGCTTCATGTCAATTAGGTTATGTTTTTTTAAACTACAAGAAACAAGGTCTGTATTTAGTCAAAATGAACACTGAAACCATATACCATTATACTATACTTGTCGTCTGAAAGCAGGTCACCGCGTTCCGACTCTAACAGTGCAATTATTTGGTTAGTTACTCTCTTTGAATACAAAGACAGACAGCAAGCAAGAGGCGAAGCAACATGAGAGGGCACAAGGTAATTACAATGTTCCTCTTCATGATACTCCATACATCCGAAATGTCCCTGCTGCCTAACCACAACACACATTTGTACTGTAGCTGCAGAAAAAACTTTTCGTACATCCAACAGTTTCCCCACTAACATAGCATATTAGCATGGATATTCCTGTACAAGCATAGGATATGTAAAACATCATCATTTTAAAATGACAGTTGATTGTTTTGCAAAAAAAAGTCTATTTTCAAGAAGCTGAGAGAAAGCGTGAACTTTGATGTCAGAGCTGCAGTACGCTGGCTGAGGCAAAAATGTTGTGTGTATGGTAAAAGCACGTCAGGTATGCGTGAGAACTTAAAGAGCTTGGCAAGAAGAGCAAAAGGATGTCTGAGTTATCAAATTAGTGTTCTGCAATGAGTGTTCTTATACAGTACACAGTTTTGTTTTTAGAGCGCTAGTGAAAAGAAGAGCAGACCTGAAGTATGCTGAGTGCTGAGATCTGACCCTGTGTGTGCTTTCTTCCTGAACACAAATCCCTAGGGACAGCCTGCAGTTGGCCACGAGCCCAAATGTCTTTAAATACAGTCCACCGTACAATCCAGCCCACTTTGCATTTATCTTGTTCTCCCTTTCCTCCTCACGTTTTCCTCCTTATGCCTGTTTTTCTGCGCCAGTGTCAAACGACGTCATTACCTTCAACATTCTGAATTTAATGTAAAATCACTGCAAGTTCAGTCTGTTTGCTCAAACTGTATAAATTAATGCAGAGTTTTAAAAGTAAAAGAAAAAAGAACATGTGTCTCACCAGCGATGGGTGGGCCTGCTGTCATAGGGAGAGACATGAGGCCAAGAAGGTAACCTATAGCCTGCGAAGCCTGCATGGGGCCGACCAACTCAAAAGCTATAGGAGCCATCATGGTGAGGAAGCACCCGTCACACAGCCCCAAGAACACACACACAACCACCAGGCCCTCGAACACCGAGCACTGAGGAATCATCATGGACATCAGGCCCAGCGCCATGAAGGACGCCACCTGAAACAGACAGCAAGAATAACTTAACAAGCTTTCCATTGTCTGATTAACCTGTAAAGAAGCACGAAACAAAGTCACTGAGGAGAGAACATACAGACTGTTTTTGGTTGACTCGTTTTCTTTCACTGTTGTCGTTATTAGTTCATGGAAAACTGGCCTCCAGGCCTTTATTGTGAATATTTTGTCTTTTGTGAAGGTGAGTACGCCCTCTGACTACAGATACACTTATACTGAGGGGAACACAGGCCAAAGTGCAGAGAATACTGATTTTAAATGATTAAGATCAGTGGATATGTTCCCTTAACTTTGTAAAACTTTGACTGAATACGTTGCTTCTGCATGGGCAGGGTTAGCTCAAATGCTAAATTAGCCTGAGCTGGCAGGAGACTGGTGCCACCACTAATCTGATTAGTGCACTAAAAGTTATGTGAGGATTAGAACTAAGTCAATGAACATAATGCTGAGGAATTTTTTTATGAATTTCAATAACATCATTTGTTCGATAAGCTAAGCATGATATATATGTGAGTTCTTTGTGCACTTGTTAGCTACAGCAGAAGTTTGCTGCACTAAAAGGCTTGATAGTCACATAGTAATATCATGACATACTATACTCTATTGTGTGACATTAATCCTGTGACCTGTGAAGGGAGATTCTGCAGCTTCACAAAGAGCTAAAAGGTGTTACTTTACAGTCCTTCACAGTTACCACATTGTACAAAAAAGCTACTCTTCCGAGTACATGGAGCGTTTAACACTGGACAAAAGAACGAACAAGACCTTCCATCTATAAAAGACTCCCTCATAGCAAAGTGCTTCTTCATTCTGACAGCAGGAAAGAGGCTATTGATTGGCCCACTGTTACTGCATTTTCTTTTTCAATGGAAAACACTGCATTTCTGTACAATCTAAACAAAGCATTCTAAAATATATTTTAAAGTTTTGATATTGCACAGAACAGCACATTTGAAGTATGCCTGTCACACAGTTTCTAGGTTTTTAGATTTGAATGAATCAGTGACTCAGTGTCCCTCTGCTCCAGCTACATGCTTGAGTGACAACAAGCACAGTGTGCTGGTTCTGCCCAACACAGCCAGTGGGTCATCTGTGTGTTTGCATTCAGTAGCAGCTGCAGATACACCAACAAGAAATGACAAACCCTGTTTGTACTTACCGCTCGAACTGCTCTCACCTGCTGAGCCTTACCCCCCATTGAACATGTTCTCAAAACAAAATCATCCCTGCCATGTAATTCTTTTAGTAACAGGAAAGCTGCTTTCTGTTCTGTTTACATTAAGTGTGTGCAAATTAGCACATGAGTCATTTTTTTCTGCAGTCATTAATGCCATTACTGAAAATGAATCTCCATAGTAATAGAACAGTGAGTATCATTTTTAATTTAATTATACAGACCGAACATTGAGTCAGTGGAATAATATGTGCACCAGATGGGTGGGTGAAACAAAGAAAGGACATTAAATAGAGTACACACTATCTAAAAAGAGCATCTCACATAAGAGTTAACAGTTAACACCAAGTTTAGTTTAAAATTTATTTTCAGCTTACATTGATGTGCAGACTTTTAATTTGAAATATTCATTCTGACAACACATTGTGACATTGCTTTCGCAAGGTGATGTAACAATTTAATTATTCAGGAATGTATAGTGTAGTCTTTTATATATATATATCAGAGATCTAGCAAAGGATCCACATCCACAACCCACTTTTCATTGTATGAGCTTCCACATCAACATGCAAAACATTTAAGGAAAAAATGGACTGTATCCCCTCACCTGCATGTAGATCTTCTTTAGACCTGGAATAAGGTCCCCGATCTTGCCAAAAGCTAGGCGTCCCACCCCAGATGAAGCTCCTATGCAAACCAGTAGCACCCATTCCTTTTGAGTTTCCTTGAACTGTTCCTCCACAAAGTTCATCTGAGAGACACAAAAATGTATTACTGCATAAGCTTTTTATTTGTAAAGGCAAACTCAACAGAGGCTGCATATAGTGGATAGGATGCCATGCAACTTACTGCTGAACTTCTTCTCTTTTTTTTTTTTCACATGTTTTGTGTTCCATGCCTAAGAATTCAATGAATTCAACATTTGTTGAAATGGAGGAGTTGTTCATCCATAACCCCTAGTCAAGGTCTTACAATAACAAACTGTCTTCATCCACAGACCTTTGGAACAGCAGGACAGGAATACCCAATGCATATAGGTCAGACCCTCCCACTCCCTTCAGTCATGACCCTTCAAATCAGATCCAAAACATGAAACCGCCCTCTGAAGTCTTTCCTGAACATGCTGGTCCTTGTGAAATATTTGCTCTGCTTTGAAGGGCTCTACATTCATCAATGGCCATAGGATAGGCATGTTTAGGAATACAGAGGGACCATACAGGAGAGGTTTCCTGAGGTGGTCGAGCCAATACAAAGGCCGGGGCTGTGTTTACATCTGGGCCCGGGCCTGAAACAACAGACCTGACAGAGGGAGGCCGGAGCTGGAACATCCGACATCTGGATAGAGGGAGATCAACTTCACAACTCAGTGCTGCAGCTTTACACTTACTCATCCTCACTATCTCACTATCTCACACCAAAGTCGGTTATAGGTCAAGTACAGATCTTACAAATGTAGTTGAAATTTGGATTGTAAACATTGTAGAAAGCTACGTGATATGACTTCATCCTCCATTTTTATGTTGTTAAAGTCCAATCGCATGTAGTTGCCCCTTTCTGCAATCAAAAATAATTCCTATGTTATTTCAAATGTATTGTAATTTGTTTTTAAATAATTAAAAGAAAGAAAGCAAGTTCTTTGGGAAAATACTAGTAATACTTTTTTCACTCTCAGGCCCTGGCGGAGCAAGTCTGTGTTTGATTGACAGCAGCCGGTAAGCCGAGCCTCAGGATGGGAAATGAGAGACAAAGTAAATAAACGTGCACTGTCTAGCTGACAGATGGCAGGGTAATTGCTTTATGTATGTATGGTTTAATATAAATCAAATTGATACATGTAGATTGAGAACCAAAAGTGTTCCAGAAAATCTGTGCCAAAATAGTGGGCCTCATCGTGAAAGAACAAAAAATAATAAATAGATATGTCTCTCGTTACGTGTCTGATTTCTTTCTCAAAGAAAGAAAAAGAACATTTGATTTCCAGAGCAGATATGGGTGCTGTAGTAGAAAATAAGTTGAGAAAAGCACACTTAATTCTGTCATCAGAAACCTGGCAGCTGATAGGCACACAGCAATTATTCCCTCAAATGCTATTATCATATTGAAAGGGACAATCCAGATATTCAGCCTCCACTGCTCATTTACCCTGCTGACATGCATTCCATTTCCTTCTCTCTGAAAGGCCCATAGAAAACGAATGGCTTCAGACCGCCCACAGCACAACAGTAGAGCTCTGACATCCATCTCCCTCCCTCTTCACTGTTCTTCATTTTCCAAGTTAGTTACTTTTTATAGTAAAACTCTAGAAGTCTAACATAAATATGAACCTGTAATATCAATAAAGAGGCCAGGATTACTACAATTTCACAGTCACATAGCAAAAGTATACAGATAATTCGGTACAGTAGATGTGCCATATTAGGTAATGGTTCAGCACAAAAATGGGAGACTATTAACTACACAAAGCTCTATAGAATTTCTTTTTATAGACATCTATCAACAGTGAGCAAAATAAAGCATAGTTAAGCTGTTTCACAGTGTAGATATGGAAAAAAAGAACAGCAACATTGAATAACTCTAAATACTGCTTACTAACACAATTTGCACAAAAGCATACCAGGAAGATGTGCTTACCAGATGAACATATGGCACAAAGTAGCCTAACACAGCTGTGGCCACTCCGAACGCCCACACCCGGTACGTGACGATGTGAAACACGCGCAGGTTGAAGTACTTCCTGACCCGGGCAACGGCTTTGCTCCACTTGCTCCCACCCTGAGCACTAGCCTGGGTTTGGGATTCACCAAGGCCAGGGCCCATTCCTGGCGGGCCCATGCCTCCCCCAGCGGGGAGCAGGGGTTTGAATGTTAGCGCCAGCAGGGCCTGCACTAGCATGAAGAGGCTGAGGATCTGGAAGGTTCTGCTGAGGCCCAGAGGTTCCGCCACCTTCTTGAGTAAAACCGGGAGGCCCATGGAGAAGAGGCTGGCACCAGCCGTCACCACACCATTGGCCAGGCCTAGGCGCTGGCGGAAGTAGTGGCCGAGGATGACCAATGAGGGCTGGAAGGCAAAGGAGGAGCCACAGCCGAACAATATGCCATACGTGAAGTAACGAAGGATCAAGGAGCTGCAATTAATGAGAAAGTGAAAAAAATAGAAGCAACATTAGAAATAAGAAAGAGAATTGAAGTTAAGATAAAGTACAGGAGCCTAAAATCAACATGATGCAACACTGACCACTGTATACAATAATTATACAAACCTTAATAAAAATATTAGATTTGTGTAGCTAATACCTACAAATTTCATGGAATTTTGGAGATTATTTTACATTCAAAGTTTAGATTGAGTTCAAACAATTTCCTAAATGTCTGTTAAGTTAGTTGTACAGTTATGTAGATTCATTTATATTTTAGCTACCAAACAAAAAATGAATACAGTAACACATACATGGTAAAATAGTGTGTTGCACTATTCTGGTGGCCTGATTGATTGAACTTGTGTCACTGAGACAGAACTAGCAGTTGTGTAATGCTTACAGAGGAGCTCCACTCATTCTACACATGTGTTCTGTCTATAGATCTTTTGGAATATTACTTGGTATTTCAAAAATGTTGTGGCTCCACGGGAAGATGGAAAAAAATGTGGTGTTACAGAGAAGTGAGCTTATCCGATCTCTGTATAACGCTCCTCATCTGTGTGTTTGGCAGGTGGTTCAAAGCAACATCAGCCACTATGAAATACCAGAATCTGAGGCTTCACTGTCAGCAGTGTAGTTGTGTTGTGGGTAATGTAGATGCCAAGTTTTTAAATACATAAGTAGAATGTGGGGAATAAAGAATATGTCTGATTTTGATCCTTTCATTGGCTGCCCACTGTAAGTCCAACAATGCAAAACGAGTGCAATGTGAAGTCAGTGGAGTATGTTTTTAAGTATTTTGCTGATCTTTTGTCAGTTTGTATAAAGAGATATCTTTTGTGAGTGATCTCAAGATTTCTATATTGATATATAAATTACGAAAAATGATCACTACAGTATTCAAATACATGTAGCATGCAGGCTAAATTTCAGGGTCTGACTTTGCACATTGCTGCATATGATAGTAATCATATCTAATAATTTCAGCCGCAGTGTGACTTTCGCAAGTGATATCTCCAAGGAACGTGTCTTACTTTGCAAATGATGTACTGAGCAGCCCAATAAAAGCCAGTGTTGCTCCGCTGACAGCTGTTTTCCTGCAGCCAAAGTGGTCTGTGAACATGCTGACCACAGGTGAGCAGAAGAAGATCATGCCCATGGCCAAGGCCCCGACCCAGGCTGGAGAGGAAATTCAAAGGAGAGAAAGAATCCATCATCAGAAAAGTGGAAATCCTGCATGTTGTAGCTATCACTGAATATAATAAAACGCAAGCTTATACCTGCTTGTGCTCAGAGAAAACATTATGTAACATGAGGCAACGTAGCATGAAATGCAGTGTGTGCTGTAAATTAACTTGAAAGAGACACACAGGATACAATTCTGTGCAGTACAGAAGAAAATAAATGGTTTCTCTTTCTTCTTCATGCCATTAAACCCCCGTCACACACCATGCAACTGGAGCGTTTGCCTCAAAGCATTTTTATTGTTACTTGCAGTAATCAAACATATGCAAATTTAAAATAAAAAAAAACAATCCTTATAGTTTTATAGTATATCATTTTTGCATGTGGGAGGTATTGTATGAAAATTACAAAGTTATTATTGAACAACTACAAGGTCTTTTATGTATATACTCCTGCACTTGTATGCAAATCTTTGGCCAGATTTCTTTGCCAGTCTGCCAGCTGTTGGCACATGTGTCACCTGTGATTTGAGTGGAGGACATAGTCAAAGGTGAACATGTGCTTCATGTTGAATCAGGCCCTACTATTGCCTTGCAGGCATTGCTTAACTCAGACAAAACCTTTGTATGCACTGAACTAGTTACTCTCTCTTTGTGGCTCTCTGCCTCTTGATGTCAACTGCTATTAATATGATTTGATGTAACTCTGCTTTTTGTTGTGTCTTCACTTACACCGCGTAGATCAGACACACTCTATAAGATTTCTCATGGTGATTACACAGATCAAAAAAAACTGAATCAAAGTGGACAGTTCTGGCCTGTGGTGAAATATTCATGCAGTGTTAAAACACAGCGAACCAGAATGCTCCAGCGGAGACAGCGCGTACCCTGTAGTGCAAACAAACACACGTCTGGGTCCAGTCTCCAAGGGAGCAAAGGTAGCTTTAATGTCTACCATGTTGTCTGGGTTGTGGGTCACACACATCCAACAGCTCAGTGGAAATGAGAGTAGAGAGACTGATAAACAGGTTGATGAACGGATTTGTCTACCTACATGCGCACACACTGAGTTCAGAGTGAAACATGAGCTCTACAGCACTGCACAAACAGTCTTTGTTGTGGAGGTTGAGCTAAACATTCTGTACTGTACATGTATACATGTGCTGGTACATAAAGTACACTACAAAGTCAAATTTTGAATTGTTTAAGGGTGGGACTGCACTCTAGCCTCCCTATAGTTTATTTACCCAAATGGAACAAGAGAGGGGAATTTCTGTTGTTTGATATCTATGTACTTCATGAACTCCCACCACAGTGTCACATTTCCTACCAAAAATGTAACTTTGAGGTACAACACCCACAAAAAAACACTGGTCTTGGCAAAAGCATTTCATGTCTTATATCCGCCTTGATATTTACCTCAGGATCAATTTCACTGGATGTCATGGTATGATAACTAAATTGTGTTCTGATATATTACAAAGGGTTGTTCTACATACACCTTCCAACATAACTTGATAAAAACACTACATAGAAATACATAGCAAAAATGGGGAAATCAATGGCGAAGTTGCATGAGATCAGATTAGCCTACTTCATAAGCCAGAGAGTTTGGGTTCTCGATAAGCACCTTAGCATTACAATTGCACAATAATGTATCACTGATCTCGAGAACTACACTCCTAAAGCGATGCTTCAAACTGGTAATTACACAAACACCCCATGGCTACACTGGCATTCAGTACAGTTGTAGAAACCTTCCAAAGATGCGGTCCATGAAACTAGCTTTTAGCCTTACTCTAGTGTGTGAAGGCAGTCAGAAACACATCACATACATCAAATACATCACGCCTAAAATATAATCGCATATGTACATAACCCAGAAAGTCAATCCCCTAAAATTCTACACAGTATCAGGCCAGTATTAGTTGTAGTCCTCCAGTGCTTTGAATCCAAGAAATTCACCACAACACACTTGAGAGTTTCTAACTCTAGGATTACTTTTGCTCTCACTGCTATTTCTCCAGCTTCTCATATGGTTTCTTGTAGATATTGCTCCCACCGTAAACTCAATCTACCACCAGTTACTTGTCCATTATCATGTGTCCATTCCGTTTGTCTGGAACAACCACAGGCTCTTAATTCATTCTCAGTCAGTCCCTGTGACGTCTCCCATCTGGAAACGCACCGCTTCAGTCTGCATGCTGTTCCCTCCTGTGTCTCACGCATAGTCTTTAGTGTTCATCTGGGGAAAGCCCACAGAGGTTTAAAGCCTTTTGCAGTCAATCAGGCTGGCCAGTCTTAGGTACCTACTGTGTGCTCTGCAAATATTGTTCAATTTTTAATTAAAAGTCAATCTACAGTTACTAATTAACCACTAAAAAAAATCATCTAATTTTTGCATATCCATGTTTCATATAAAATGTTTCCATGTACATAATCACACCATGCATTAAAATGACTACGACATAACTGTGTGAAAAGCTACACAATGACAAGTTGTAATGTTGGAGGAATTCAGCCTTAGAACTGAAAACCGATTCTAAAGAAGAATACAATACAGACAGCAACACCCCACAAGTCGAAATGACTGGCTCCCTAGGTTCGTTATGTATAAAACCCCTGCAGAAAACTATACACAAGGTCCAATGTACAATCAGACGATGAAGATCCTTGTCTCAGTGCTTCTTGATGGCCTTTCTACTCTGGACAACCTCACCACCAAACCCACAGTTCCCCTTGGCCTGATACAAGCAAAGGTCTGTGAATAGACTGTGTGCAGTGTACTCATTAGAGAGGATTAGTCTAAACACTTTCAAACAGAAGGAAAAGAACACAGTGAAGGAGAGTGAAGCAAAATGAAAAGATGTGTGTGCGTGCATCTGTGTGTGGTAGTGGTGAGGAGGCTTAACAAGCTTGCCTCTCTTCACATGATAGATGCAGTCTGACAGCAAGAGAGAAACTGTATAGGAACCATCTGTATATTGGATAACACACATCTTGTGGTAGAGAAACGCTGTCGGATTTTTAAAGAAGCGATCTTATTGAATGTACAAAGAGCTTCACTCAAGCCTACTTAGTTTAGCTTGCATTAGGTGGTGCCAGCATGTACACATGCATACAGGATAGCTGTGTGTTTTGTGAATATGTGTTGTTTGGTTTGTGAACCGTGTTTATTTTTCTAACGTATGTCAAGTTGTCTGGTGACACAGTAGCAGCCAGATGTGATTTCTCTACATGCTCAAAGGTATCTACTGTGACTGATCAGGTATGACTACACAGCTGTCCTTCATGACATTAGTATATTGATAAGCATCCTGCATTATGGTGTTATTCATACAACTGAGGTCCACTGACCCTTTTCACAACGAAGCAGAAGTTTAAACAAATTATGTCAACAGTGCAGTTACAAAATGGGTTGAGTTCGCAAAGCACGCTACCCTTGTTTGTGAGCAACTACAGAGCAATCAGAAAGTACTAGTTTTATCTTAGCATGGCACGCCGCAGCATTGGATCTGAAATGCAATAATGAGATTAAAGTGACAACTTTAAGCTTTAGTCTGAGTGTGTCAACATTCATACCGGATAACCAATTATATTTAATTATAGCTCTTTATACCACTTAGTTTTAGTGGACAGAAAGTTAAGCAGCAAGTCAAAGAGAACAGTTCATAGAACGCTCTGTGGATTATCCAGAATAACAAAAACATTGTTCCTGGAAAAATGTGTTGCTACTGACTTATTGTCAGTGTTTTATGTCGCTCTAACAATATCGTATTCACCTCCAAGTATCAAGTGGTAGAAGAAACTGTCTGCTTAGTGAGATGCTTAGTGAGAAGAAACTCGCTTCACCTCATAATACCCGTTCCATTTCAAAGCCAGTGTGCCAAAACAGTCAGAAAAACATCACGTTCCAAATGTTTTCTGACGACACTGTTCGTGGTTAACACAGACAGAGGAGGAAATATTCCTTGAGCTAAACAATGCATTGTACTCTGTTTAAAATTGTCCTGGGTACTCGCTGTAAAAGAAACAATGGCCATACATGTTTTTGTACTATTAGCGGAAACGAGGAGGACTAACAAGAACATGTACTTGATATGGAAGTCCATTCCCTCAAGGCCACATGAAATGCCATTAGCAGGTGCTCGGGCTGCAACATGCAGCCACATGACGTACATGGTATTTTTAACTGAAAAAAACAGATACCCTATTTCCTCAAACACTGACCTTACCTTACCTTGACTGCAAATGGTAACAGACCTTTATTTGAAGCACTGGCTTGTATCAGAAGCAGGTCTTCATTTCTAATTCCCAATGTTTGACAAGTAGAATTGGTCATTTTTGCTACAAAATGCATTTTCCTTTTAAAAGTTTATGCAAATTCAATGCAAATTCAGTGTTTCCAGTAATATTTGAGTTCAAATACACAGTGTTTTTGTTGATAGAAACCGGTTATTTCTGCTTGTGTTGCGAAACATTTGCAGGTAAACCATGCAACAACAGTTAGCTGAGACATAGTCAACACCAATACGCCCACTATGACTGAAATAGGACAATAATACCTTAGACGAGTAATCCAGAACAACAAGGTGCTGAAAATAACACAATTACATGGTTGGGTTTGTTAAATTAAAACAATAGAAATGTACAAAATGCAGACCTGTACATCATATTACAGCCCCCATGTCCAGTCATTATCTGAGACAAAGCTTTAATTGACTACTGGTTTTTAAGGAAATATGGCTGTTGTAGTAGTAGTTGTAGTTTCCCCTTAGATACCCAATGTTCTATCATCTCGCCCACAAGAAAGGGATCAGAGCGGTCCTTGCATGTATGAAGAGGCGGATGCAATGATGACACTCCAAGGAGCAGATAATGTGAGAAAAAGATTTAGTGAAAATATCACCCTGTGCTCTGTGAAGACACAGGTTTTGGTCCTAGTTATTGTGGATGTGTCAGAGCTGGACATTAAGTGGCTGCGGGTGGCATTTG